CAAACATAAAAATATAAGAAAATCAAAAAGATTTATGTTAAATTCAATTAATTTCAAATATCCTCATAATTTTAATATTATGATAAAATATCCATGTTATTGACTCAAAAATCGTTTTCTCACAAGTTTTAAAATTTACTTAAGGATATGCTAAAAAATAAGTTTTTTCAGCTTAATGAATTTTTTTCGCGTTTTCCAAAATTGTTAAGAATAATTCAAATTTCAAAACTTATAATTTAAGCTTGCGAATACTAATAGCTGTTAAAAAAATAGCAATAGTAATAATAATAAAATAAAAGTAATAATAAAACTTGTGGCATTTCTTCACAATATGGAAATTTTCCACAATAATAATAGTAGTTTTTCGCAAAAATTTCATATGTAAAAATATTTTTAAACTTACGTCTTCGCGCCACACGTCTCGAAGAAACGAATACCAGAATTGCAAGTAATAATATTAACTTCCTCATTTTTCTTCCTGAACTATCTGCACTAAGTTTTTAAAATGTTCTATTATTTATATACTCCAAAGAATATTTATATGCACATAATTTTAAAATCGGTATGTAACAATATTTCAAAATTAAAATATATTTATAGCTAAATATTTTAATTTTGCACTCATTTGTTATAAACATACGTAAAATAGAAAAAAATATTTATATGAGTGAAAATTATGTATAAATTAAACAAGTATTTTGTTTTTAAATACAATGCAAAACGATTTGTATTCTCATTAAGAACATCATAAAAAAGATAATTTATAAGCGCAATTTTTACTGCCTTAACCTAGGTTTAACAATAACAAGATTAACAAGAAGAACATAAAGAATACATCGTAAATATTTTAATTAATCATATTTTAATTTTTTTATATATATTTCTATTGAAACTTTTTCAAATGTCTGTATATTTGCCAAACTTAACTAGTAGTGCTTGGCATCGTGCCTTAAGGCAAATTGCTGGAACTTCTCGTACCGAAATTAAAAGTTCGAGGAATGAAAATAATCAATAATTATTTTAAATAATTTCAATTAGATTATTAATATGAATGTATACTGTAAATTTATCACTATACTTATTGCCCGACGAGCGTATTCTGCAAACAACACATATGTGTATGTTTACAAGAAATTTCTTCAATTTTTTTTTAAATTTGATTTTTTTTAAATTCTGGAATTTCTTAAAAGTTTGAGTTTTATTTTTGGAATTCTTAAAAAAAAAATCGTTTTTTTTAAATTTTTTGAGAATTTGGAAATTTTTGAATCTTCTCAAATTGTTGTAAGAAAAAGTTTTTTTTTTAATTTGTTATATTTCGAAATTTGGATTTTTTTGAAAATGATGAAAAATTTCGAAAATTTGAGCTTTTTGAAGCTTGGATTTTTTTTTTGAAAACTTTGATTTTTTTTTTTTTAATTTTTAAAACTACGAACTTTCTTGTAAAACCATTTTTCGCACCCCGCCTGCACAAGCAAAAATATTTTTGAATTAATCTAATCGGATGATTCGTTCTCTCAAAAACCGAATGACTATTTTTACACTCTTTGCGCTCCATACCTCCGGAACGGCAAGATACGCCTTTTGCAAAAACGCCTCGCGATTGAGTACGAATCGGACATTTTTTCAATAATACAAATCGGTTATTCTTGTCGAAAATGTCAAGGGACATTTGTTTGAACCATATAAATAAAGTTCAAAATTAAAAATCTTGGTACGGAACCCAAAACAATTGACACAAATGTGTACGCATTATTAAAATCTCTATAAAATAACTGATAAAATGATGTGCAAATGTCTAATAATTATTTCTGACCGCCAAATGACATTTATTTTCACTTTTTTTCTTGAGAGTCTATAATCGCTGAACCTGCCTTTCCAGAAATATGAACAGTTTTTCTTTTAGTCAATATAAGTAAAACGTTTTTTTTAATTATTCAAATCGAATATTTCGTTCTCTCAAAACGATCGATAAAAAATTACTCAAATCGGTTAATCCGTGTTCCCGAAATCGTGGACGAAAATTTGTATCCGCATACACACAAAAACGCGCGCGCCGCACATTCACGCACACACATATATATCAATTTTTTATAAAGTATGCCAAAATGGTCAGAAGGTTTTGAAACGTAAAGATATATAAAAAAAATTATTTTCGATTTTTTTGCGTATTATAAAAATACGTACACAATGATAAAACATTCTAATTGACATAATATAACCAAACAAATATAATTGTATACCTATTTAAATAATAAAGATTTCAATCAACCAAATATGATCATGCAACGAAAATGGAATACGTATTTTGAGACAAAACATTATAGCTGATACATTTCATTTCATAAAAACAATATATGTATTTATAATTTGAGATTTGTTAAAATTGCAACAAATTATATATTATTTAACTTTTGTATTAATTTAAATAGCTATTTTGTTGTGAATATTACCACTTTAATCATTAAAATATAATCTTAGTGTATCATATTTGAAAGATAGTTTTAGAATTATATTTAATAATTATCAAATTATTAAAGATGAACAAATTTAAAATATTTGTAAATTCGAATCACAGTATAATTTAAAGTCATAATTGTTATGTGAGGTAGTTGCTGTATTATGCTTTGATAATATAGTCAGTTTATATCATTATAGATAACAATATTAATAGATAAAATGATATGAATATGAAAATGATATGAATGAATATAAAACTAGAGGTGTATTTAACAGATTATTATCAAAAAATACATCCACATTTTCGACAAAAATTATGTTTATCCGATGTGATTTAACGATTTTGATGAAACTTTGATTATGATGATAAGGTAGCCCCGTGAATATGGCTTTATTATAGAAAAATATTCAAGGTTAGATAATATGCTATTGATATTATTTAACGTCATAATTGTTATGTGAGGTAGCTGCTGTATTATGTTCTGATAAATAGTCAGTTTATATTTATAGATACCAATATTATCTAAAATCAGATTATTATCAAAAAAAACATTATCCACATTTTCGATAAAAATTATGTTTATCCGATGTGATGTAATTATTTGCTGAAAAATATTTGACTATTATGATGAAACTTTGAATTAGATAAGGTAGCCCTGTGAAAAGTGGTTTTATTATAAAAATATTCAAAGTTAGAATATATACTTATGATATTCTAATTCAACATTAATATGTAGTGTAGTCAACATTAGTATGTACTACAACTACATTTAAAGTGCTTTAGGAAGTGACTTAGAAATAGAATATATGAAATGCATAAAATTGTAAAGAGGTCCTTGAAACATAAAAATGGTCAAGAATTTGAGCACAAAAAATTACATTGTAATAAAGTTTATACAAAAGATTTATTCATATTATCTCAAAAAATAAGGTGCCAATGTAAATTTTGTATAATTAGAACCCTTTAGAAATTCAGAAAGCAGAATGATCATTATTTTATACGCCAGCCACGTTTTTTATAAATTTTCTGATTGATGATGCTGAAACTCTGGCATATACCCAGGAGCATTTTCCCTTGCACATCCATATCCCCATGAAACAATTCCTATTAGTTTATTATTCATGTTGATCATTGGACCACACATCACCTTGACAGCATCAATACCTCCATCAATATCCCATCACAGATCATACTAACATAATTATCATATAATTATCATACCTCCATCAATATCATCCAGCACAGATCATACTAAAATAATTAATCATATAAATTATCTAAAGTCATTTTCCAAGCGATAAGATATGGTAGAAAATCATATTTCAAATATCTCTTAGTTATAAGAATATATAAATATATATATATATATAATATATATAATATATGTCCTACTCAAAATAGCCCATTTTGGGCACTGCGATGTGAAATGGCAGTGAGAATCTTCTTCCCTGAATCGAGTTGGAGTTTACTTAACTCACAAACCTATTCTAGGCAGCACTAATCATTATTATTATTATTATATATGCATTTATGTATATATCTACATATAATATCAAGCGATAATATAATATATATATATATATATATATATATATATATATATATATAGTTAACTTTTCTTGACGGTAGATCAATTAATAGAAATCGTCTAAAAAAAAATTTTAACACCTCATTACAGGAAAACGGCCAAGCCGATATTTACCAAAAACTAATCAAGTCCATTCCCAACCAATATCTTTCGAACGGTTTTTGAATTTTCTAAATCGATTTTGAATTGCGGGCTAAATCGTGGACGAAAAATGTTTCACTTTTCTGTTATTTACAAAGAAATGACTTGGCTGATCGTCGCGCAAAATTGATAGCCGTTCAGCCGTTTCTGAGAAAACGTCGATTTACGGCAAAAAAATTGTTCACACATACACACTCACACACTCACACACACACTATACACATACATACTTTTCCCAAATTTGGTCTCATTCGATTGAGAATGGATTGAAATGTCCAGAAAACAAAAAAAAAAATTTATGAATCGGGTTTTATTATGAAAACATAAACTTCTCCCTCGGAAAGTTAATAATTTGCAGCCATTCGTCGAATTCAAAAAAAGGTTAAAAGAAAAACGTTCTTTACGTTTCAACACTTGATGTATCATCATTCAGTCAATCAAACCAGAATAAAAACAAAAACTTAAAATACTAATAATAAATTAAAACTAGAGGTGTATGGCATCATGCCGTAAGGCAAACCGCTGGAACTTACCGTACTATAATGAAATATTCGAAGAATATTAAATGTTTTCAAACAGATTCTTATAATTACTGTTAAAATGAAAGACATTGTCTAATATTTATAAGAACTACATAAATTGAAAAGTTAAAATTATTTATTTGTTTTAGAACTTTGGCTAGAATTAAAATTAAAATCCGAATTATTTTCGATATTCAAAAAAAAAATTTTTTTGGAAATTAAAAAAAAGTGAAAAAAACAATTCTTTTACCAAAAGCAAAAAGTGTTTTTAATCATTTAAATCGGATGCTTAATTCTCTCAAAAACTGCCATTTTTTGCACATTTAGTTCAGTATCTCCGGAACGGCTCGACCTGCCTTTGCCAAAAACTAATTAGAACTTTCTCCTGCAATTACGAATTGATTTTCGATCGTTCTAATCGGGTGTTCGTTCTCTCAAATATTCGATTTCTTTTACCTGCACTCTGTATCTCCGAATCGACTAGACCTGCTTCTGACAAAAAGTAGTAAGCATTTCGATTCGATTTATATTGATAGGGATACATCAATATAAATCGAATGTTTTTTAACTAATTAAATTGGTTGATCCGTGCGCACGAAAACGTGAATAATTGTATCTATACATACATACACACACACATCTAGTTTTTTTTGAGGTATGCCAAAATATTCAGAAACCTTCAAAACGTGAAATAATGCAAAAATATTTATTTTTGATTTTTAGACGATTACAATGACTTACCCAACAGGAAGTGAAAAATATTGAACTTTGATAAGAAAAACTAGAATTCCGTAAAATATTAATGGATTTACACAATACTTTTTTAATAGATTTATATATACTTACTTTTGATTTACATCAGAGAAAAATTCAGGGTCTGCATTTTTGCATTCATGCCTGTTTACGATTGGAACTACAGCTCCTTGTAAAAGCCGCGAAACACTAGCAGCATCTTCCTGTTAGTTGAATTATTTCATATATTATAAGGATAAAAATGTTCACCTATATTCAAAATATATTGCATTGTTAATGTAAACTAATCCAATAATTAATGTAATCAGGTTATAAATACATGACAATGAGTCTTTCATTAATAGATGCAATCTTAATAGATACCTACTGCTACGGCCTTTTTTCTGAAAGACGGCTCATGTTTGAACGATATTATTTTATATAAAATAGTTCTCGCTTTTTTTTCACGGATTGAGATATTTTGCTATTTACTTTAGTAACCTCAGAGTTACAGCTCTTGATGTATTTTTCATTATATATTAATTGTCTCAGTTATTTTTTTTTTATTTAAAAGTATAGTGGTAAATATAGTCTTACGGTGATGAAAACCGTTTTGATGTTATTTTTGATCGTCGCCAAAATAAAAATATAGTTTTAACTTTAAGTTTATTAACCGAAATTATATACCTACCGATGTAACGCCCCAGCCGGTAACAATCGCAGGTGAATAAGGTGCAGGATCTTGACCTTCTTTGGCCAACGTTATTTTGTGAACGCTATTTGAGAAGGTAATTGGGGTTTTCAGCTTAAGAAGGGCCGCGTCACAGTCTAGAGTCGTTCGGTTGTAATCTGGATGAACAAATACTTTTTCTACTATATTAACGCTGCCGAATTGCCAGTTGTTAGTTCCATAACGAATTTTAAGGAAGTCGTCCAGTTCGACATCTTCATATCTAAAACAAACAATGAGTGGTAAAGCTTGACATCCTCTTTGTTTGCAGTATTTGCATTATACTTTAAATTAATTAGATTATTTTAATACTTACCGGTGTACACAATGTGCGGCAGTTAATATCCAGCTTTTATCGATAATAGAACCACCACAAAAATGACGATTTTCGGTTTGAATTGATACCTGCCAAGGAAAACCTCTTATATCGACTGCCGTTCCGCCGACAATGCGATCCTCTATTTCTTCAGAAAGAACGCATCCGATCAAGGCGATTAATATTGGCAGTTTCTTCATCTTAATATTACCTGTTCGTATGCGCTACTAAATTATTTTAATGTTACCTTATATTTATATGTACAAAATTTACAGATAACACAATAGAACATATTCACAATAAAATCATAATTATACGCTTATTTAGATAATAATTTTCAATCAACTGCAATATATAATGGTCCAAAGGAAATAAAATATGAATTTGATAAAAAAAAACATTATATTATAAACATTATAGCTGAATTTGAGAACAACATATATATATATATAATAAAACTAATAGTGTATGGCACCGTGTCTTTAGGCAAATTGCAAGAACTTCCCATACTGTAACGAAATGTTCGAGGAATATTAAATGTTTCAAATAGATTAATATAAATATTGTAATATTGTCTAATATTCCTAAGAATTATATAAAACTGAATTAAAAAGTTAAAACTATTTATTTAAGGTATTTAAGTGAGCTTTAGAACTTTAGCCAGAAGTAAAATTGAAATATGAATTATTTTCGATATACAAAAAAAAAATATTTTTTGAAAAAAAAATATCTTTGAAGTATTTTTTTTACCAAAGGCACTTCTTATGTCAACACAAGCAGAAAGTTTTTTGAATCATTCAAATCGGATGCATAGTTCTTTCAAAAACTGAAATGGCCGGGCCTGCTTTTGCCAAAAACAAATAACCACTTCTCCCAATTATTACTAATTGAATGTTTTTTAGATCATTCAAATCGGATGCTCCGCTCTTTCAAAAGCTCGCATTCTATTTTCTGCACTCTTTGCTCCGTATCTCCGTAACGGCTGGACTTGCCTTTGCCAAAAACTAATCAACACATCTCCCTATCAATGAGAATCGAATGTTTTTTTAACCGATCCGTGCGCCAAAAAACGTGGACAAAAAATTGCGCACACACACACACATCCATGTTTTCTGAGGTATACCAAAGTGTTCAGAATCCTCCGAAACATGAAGATTTTCGGCCCATTATTGGAACTTACCCTACGGAAATTAATATACAGAAACTATATAGGAATAATTTGTTAAAGTAGAGCATATTTGGTTAAATATTGTATTCTTGCTAGTTTAATCAAGAAGGATATTTAAATCATTATAATACATATAAAAAATATACGTTGCATATTATTATTAAGTTAAATATTATTAAAATATTTTAGAGCTATATCTTATCTGATGGCTAGCTGAAGAATTTTATCTAATAATTATAAAAAAAGTTTTAATAAAATATATTGATGTATTACTGAATACTCCTAAGTCTAATATAAAGCTATAACTGCATGAGCTTTTTTAATTGCTAAGGTTATTTTACATTTTGAAAAGCTTTAAAAATAATTGAAAATTCTGAACAAATGGAAATTTTATTTTTTTTCAATTTATTGAATATTTTGAAATCAATTAAAGTTTATTGTAAGGGATTGCGTTGCGTAGCTGTTTTAGATACGAAATATCGAAGCATCACGTAAGCTTCGCGTTGCAGTCTGTTCTCAAAACCTGTGTTGTCATTTTTGGCACTTTTCAAGGGCTAGATCAGCAAAAAAACTAATTAGCACGTCTTCCCTTCTATACGAATATACTTTTTGTATCATTCAAATCGGTAGATCCGTGCTTTCGAAATCAAGAACAAAAATTGTTTTCAAACGTACACACATACATACTACATAACACCAAATCCAAACTACCTTATGAGGATACTGGTAAATATTTAGGACTCAATCTGGACCGCCGGCTCACGTAGAAAATACGCATTTGTCAAAAGCGTAGAAAACTCGAAGATAAACTCAGACAACAATATTGGCTGCTGGGTCATAAATCTAAAGTGTCGATGTCTAGCAAAGTTCTAATTTAAAAATCAGTACTGAAACCCATCTGAAAATATGGTATTTAGCATTGGGGCGCAGCCCCTCAAATATTGAAATCTTTTAGAGATTCCAGAACAAAAATGTTTAGGCAAAATGCCAACGTTACGACATACTTTCCCAGGTATAGCCAAAAGATGGCTATAGGGCATATATTAGAGGATGGCTTCGTCATGCACAAGATAGGTGTTCAACAAATGCAGCACAAAACAACAAAATAACAAATTAAATATTAGTTTTATGTTTTAGTTAGATGTTTGTTCTGTTTTGGTCTATTTATAATATATTATAATTATCATTATATATCACCATAAGTGTATTTTAGTTTATATATACTTAATTAGGTTTTCAAAACTTTAAATAAATTATAAAATTCTTTAGAATTCTTTAGAAAGGTACCGAAACAGGCCAACCATCCATCCAAATAGCCTTGCAAGAAAGCTATTACAAATATATCTCAAAAGATCAAAAAAAATATTATACTAATGATTTGCCTTAGGTCTAATAATTTGTACAAACTCTTAGTTTTTTTTTTTTTGACAATCTCTATCTAACATTGTGAAGAACTACATCATTGAGTGCAATTCATAGTTTTTATTTTATTCTATATTACATGCAATTGATTTTATATCTCATGTAGATAGATGATCTAATGAATAATATAAAAAAATATATAAACATATTACATACACACACATCATCCTTCTTTCCTAAGGTATGCCAAAATGTTCAGAAGTCATTTCTTCGATTACTATAGCTTACACTATGAACAGTTTATAATCAGCATAATAGTATATTTGCTACACATTTTTATTGTAACCAGTAGATTATTACAGCACAATTAACTCACAAATCAATGAAATAAAGTTAACCGAAGATATTCAATGATTTTAGAGATTATATCTGACCTCAATGGAGCAAAATTATTATTTGGAATCTTAAGAATAATGAATCAGTAATGATTATAATGAATTATAATCTAATTAATCAATTTTAAAATAAAATACTATATAAGTATTTTATTTATAAAGTATATAATACTAAAGTTTGTATATTTGGATATCTAATGCGAATAAGTATTTAATGCACATCATCAATTTATTAATTTTTGAAAATACCTTTAGCAAAATATAAATTATATATTTTTGCAAAACATTTATATTTGGCGTGCGCCATGAAAACTTTTATCACATTAATAATCAAAATGTTTTTGTATAATCAAAAACAGCAAATTCACTCGGAATATGTGGAAAATGTAAGAAACACTTGAAATGATGCTATATCATATAATCGCATGTAAGAACTTTTAAAATATAATTTTTCAGTATTTAAAAATATGTTAAAAAGTCTCAAAAATTAAATATATGTATGAATCTTAAATTTTAATATTTAAAATTAAAATTAAAAAAAATATATGAACAGCTATGAAGAATTTAAGTAACCCTTTATATATCCACACATACATCATTTTTTTCTAAGGTGTTTCTAATGTAAAATGCTCAAAAACCTTCGAAACGTAATGATATGTAATAAAAATTTATTGTCAATTTTTGGACGATTTCTATAACTTACTCTACGAGAAATTAATTATATATCCAAGGTTTAGAACAGCAATGAAGTATTAAAGCAACCCTTTATGATATAAATATTTCATTTTATAAGAATCGTATTCAATATTTATTGCAATACAACAGTTGAATTTAAAACATGATTGGTAACTTGTATGTTAATTGAAAGTTATATGCTTGATAAAGAAATGATTTTTTTAAATATCATAATAAACACACTGATATTGATAGAAATATTCAAACTTTTCTTAATCGTATCTGGAATTATTATGTGCCTATGTAATTATTTGTAATCGGGAACTATCATAATTCAGCAGGGCAGAATATTCATTATTTTACACGCCAGCCACATCTCTTATAAATCCTCTGATTGAAGGTGCGCCAATCCTGGTAAATACACTAGGAGCAAGTTTCCTTGCACATCCATGTGCCCATGAAACAATTCCTATTTGTTTATTATCTATGTTAATTAATGGACCACCACTATCACCTTGGCACGCACTGACTCCTCCATCAATATATCCAGCACAGATCATGCTAAAATAATAAAACGTAAAATATTTGGACCAAAGTCATTTTTTAAGTCATTAGTTATAGCTTTACATTAGAAAAATATATTTGGAATATTTTATATTTACACCATTAAATAATGATCTTAGATTTGTATATATTTGTAATAAAAAAATATTAAAAATTTTGTAATAAAAATTATAACCAATATTTTTTTTAACCCTCCGTCGGTCGGCGTGGTCTGGCCAGACTTTTTTCGACTTCAATTAAAACTAGTTGGTTTGGTATTTAGCCTTGAGGCAAGTTACATGAACTTCCCGATATGTGTAAAAATCTACTTAATCAATAAAAAACTAGTTGGTTTGGTATTTAGCCTTGAGGCAAGTTACATGAACTTCCCGATATGTTTAAATAATCGACTTAATCAATAAAAAATAAATTAATTTATGAGTGATTAAAAGTATTCCGAGTGGATTTATTACACATAATTGAAAACGAACGAACACTTTGACTCGGAGTATTTTCTAAAAGCAAATTTTCAAAAATCAATAATTTTTATAATTGAACCAGTTTCCAGGACTTTAATGGTTTATTATGTTCAAGACCAAGTACTCTATCATTATACCAAGTAAATAGTCTAATTTTAATTTTAACAAATGTCAAAAGAACTACTCATTTTTTAAAATTTTGATGAATGTTTAGAATCAAACTATTTGTCGTAAGGCCGTAATTTCAATAAGTTCTATAAGACCATGGTAAATATCGCTAAAAAGAAATCCATGAAAATCGGCTTAAATTTTTTTTTCAACAGTTAATTACAAGAAAACGGCTCGGTAGATTTTCACCTAAAATTAATCAGTACCATTCCCAACCAATATCTTTCGAACAGTTTTTGTTTTTTTAAAATCGGTTCGGTAGGATGAGCTTAAATGTGAACGAAAAGTTTAACACTTTTTTCAACAGTTAATTACAAGAAAACGGCTCGGTAGATTTTCACCTATAATTAATCAGTACCATTCCCAACTAATATCTTTCGAACAGTTTTTGATTTTTTAAAATCGGTTCGATAGGATGAGCTTAAATGTGGACGAAGTGTTTAACACTTTTTTTCAAATTGCAGAAAAACGGCTTGGCAGATCGTCACACAAAACTGACAAATGATAGTCCTCACCGAAATACATCAAATGGCTTTTAAATTTCTGAAATCGGTTCAGGCGTTTTTGAGAAAACGTCGATCAAAGGTCTAATTTTGACAAATGCCAAAAAAACGATACCAATTTTTGCAAACTTTGACGAATTTTTAAAGCTCAACCAGTTGTCGTAGCGCCGTAATATTTTAGTATGATCCAGAAAACTATGGTATCTACCGTCAAAAAAATAATCATAAAAATCGTCGATTTTTTTTTTTAAACTTTATTACAAGAAAACGGCCCGGCCGATCTCTACCAAAAACTAATCAGCACGATTCCCAACCAATATCTTTCGAACGGTTTTTGAATTTTCAAAATCGATTCAGAATTGCGGGCTAAAACGTAGACGAAAAATTTTTCACTTTTCTGCGATTTATAAAGAAACGGCTTGGCCGATCGGCGCACAAAACTGACAAACAATAGTCCACGTCGAGGTACATCGAATGGCTTTTAAATTTTTGAAATCGGCTCAGCCGTTTTCGAGAAAACGTCGACTTACGGCAAAAAAGTGTTCACACACACACACACACATACTTTTTCCAAATTTGGTCTCATTTGATTCAGAATGGCTTGAAACGTCGAGAGAACATAAAATTAGCAATTCGGATTTTTTGATGAAAACATAAACTTCTCCTTCGGGAAGTTAAAAAAAAATACTTCTAGTAATCCTATCGACTTTTTATTAGCTGTCAATCAATGAAAAAAATCAGGACGGAAAAATGTACAGAAGGATAATTATAAGGATATTAACTTTTCTATACCTCGAACTGTCGGAAAGGTCTGTCTAGACCACCCATACATTTTGTATGAAATATACGCTTTTCGATATATGTAAACCTGTATTTTGTCTTTTTTCATGGTATTTTCTATTCAAACTGCGTTGTATATATTCTTTGCTATGTGTTGTAACATGAATGTTAGTATTTTCACAACGAGAGTTCCTTGAAAAACCTACCAAACTTATTGGTAATCGCGAACACTGAAAATCGGGTGAGTAATGCACACATTATCAACAATTTTTTTACCCGTACTGCGTTCGAAATTTTTGTTTGGCAAACCTGTAGTGAAATTATATTTTCACTTTGAGTTTTACAGCTCATTTCAAAGGCGACGCACCTCATTTTGTTTTCATTTGAATTTTACATTCATTTCGAAGGAAAAGAATAAATATTGTTTTTCATTGATATAAAACAGAAAAATTAACAAAAAAGCAACGATTTTTTTATATTTCTTGATTTTTTTGTATAATATAATATGTAATATGTTTATTAGAGACTAGCTCAACACATGCAAAAGACGGTAAGAAAAAAAGAAAAAATCAAAACTATAAATATTTACTACTAATAATCGTTAATATATAAGACACCAAAATCTCATCTATTTCATATAAATGCATGTAAAATGAATGGTGGTCCAGCCAGACTTTTCCGACCGTTCGAAGGTGAAAAAATATCCGACCGACGGAGGGTTAAATGTTTGGTCGAAGGTTTTCATGTAGATATACTACAATCTATTAAAATTTAAAAATTATATGTACTAACTTACTCTGAATTAACCATAGAGTACAATTCAAAGTCCATTCTTCTGCATTCATTTCGATTTACGATTGGAACTACAGCTCCAAGTAAAATCAGCGAAGCTTTATCAGCATCTTCCTGTTACATACATTATTTATGATATTATCGCCCGAAGACATGAACAACTAGCTGTAAGTGGAATTCTGTCTTAAGGCAATTAAGGCATCGTGCCTTAAGGCAAATTGCTGGAACTTCCCGTACCAAAATTTTTTTTTTTTTTAAAACGATTAACATTTTTGAAAAAAATTTACTTCGAAAAAATAAGATTTTTGACAAACAATTAGACAAAAAATTACTTTTTTTGACAAAAAAAATTTTTTTAATTTTTTTTTTTTTAATTTTTTTTTTTTGAAAAAAAATGTTTTTTTTTTATTTTGACATATTTTGAAAGATCTAAACTTTTTTTCAAAGCAATCGTACTGCTTTAACTGCATAAAGACGAAATATCAAACCGCGTAAGCGCCGCGTCGACGTCTAACGCGTAAACATTGGTACGGAACCCATAGGAATGTAAACCGAAATTATACTTATTGTTAAAATCTCTATAAAATATCTGATAATTTGATGTGCATATGTCTAATGATCATTTTTGATTGCCAAATGGCATTTTTTTTACTTTTTTCATTAGATTTCCGAAACCGCTAGACCTGCCTTTATGAAAATTTGATCTGTTCTTCACCTTGTCAATACAAGTGAAATGTTTTTTGAATTATTAACATCGGACGCTCCGTTCTCTTAAAAACTGAGTTACCGTTTTCGGCACTTTTTGCCCCGAATCTTCGGAACGGCTAGACCTGACTTTGCCAAAAACTAATCAGCACGTCTCCTTATCAATACAAATCGAATGTTTTTTGGATTATTCAAATATTCCCGAAATCGTCGACGAAAATTTGTATCCGCACATACATACATACACACACACACACACACACATACATCCATTTTTTCTAAGGTATGCCAAAATATTCAGAAACCTTTGAAACGTCGAGAAATGCAAAAATTTTCATTTTCGATTTTTTTGCGATTACTATAACTTGCCCTACGGGAAGTTAAAAAAATGTGAACATACAAAACACACACACATACATTTTTTCTGAGGTATGCCAAAATGCTCAGAAACCTTCAAAAAGCAAAGATATGCAAGAAGTTTCATTCAACCGTCAAATGACATCCCGTAGGGTAAATTATAGTAATCGCAAAAAAATCAAAAATGCTATTTTTTATATATCTTTGCGTTTCAAAGGTTTTTGAACATTTTGGCATACCTTAATAATGTACGGGTGTGTGTATGTGTGTGTGTATTGGTATTTTGTCTTGAGGCTAAGCCCGGTTTTCTGGAAAATTCAAAATTCTAAAACCGGTTTTCTGAAATGTCGGTTTTTGTATAAGACCAAGTACTCTATCGTTATACCAAGTAAATCATCTAACTTTAATTTTAACAAACTTTGACAAATTTTTCGAGTTATAATTAGCGAATCGGATTTTTTTGTGAAAACGTAAACTTTTCTTTCGGCAAGTTAACTAGTTGTGTATAGCATCGTGTCTTAAGGCAAATTGCTGGCACTTTCCGTACCGTAACAAAATGTTCGAGGAACATTAAATGTTTTGAAATAGATTATTATGAATACTATAACATTATCTAATATTTATAAGAATTATATATACTGAATCGCAAAGTTGAAATTATTATTTTATTTATATAAAGTTAGCTTTAGAACTTTAGCCAGAATTAAAATTAAAAGCTGTATTATTTTCGATATACAAAGAATATAAAAAAAAATAAAAAAAAAAATTTGAAAAAAAAACTTTGTAATATTTTTTTTCAAAAGCAATTATTTTGTCATTACAAGCAACAGGTTTTTTGAATCATTCAAATCGGATGCTTAGTTCTATCAGAAACTGCAATTTTTCACATGATTTGCTTGGTATCTCCAAAACGGAACGAATCATTACAAATTGATTTATGAATCATTCAAATTGGATACTCCGTTCTCTCAAAACCTTGATTTCTATTTTCTGCGCAATTTGCTCCGTATCTCTATAAAGGCTAGACCTGCCTTTGCCAAAAACTAATCAGCGCATCTTCCTATCAATAGGAATCGAATATTTTTTGAATCATTTAAATCGGTTGATCCGTGCGCCGAAAACGTAAACGAAAAAATGCGGACACACAAAACACACACACACACACATGCACACGAATCGATTTTTTCTGAGGTATGGCAAAATGTTCAGAAACCTTAAAAACGTGAAGTTATGCCAAAACTTTTATTTTAGATTATCGGCCCATTACTATAACTACCCTACGGTAAGTTAAAAATGTGTGGATTTAAAGATATATAAATAATGAATTGTAGTTTTGTTGTGGAATCGGCGCCTGAAGAAAAAGATCATTTATTGCTCCATCAGCTGAAATTAAATTTTTACCACTGTAACGCCCCAGCCTGTAACAATCGCAGGTGAATAAGGTGCAGGATCTTGACCTTCTTCTGCCAATGATATTTTGTGAATGCTATTTGTGAAGGTAATTGGTGTTTTCAGCTTAAGAAGGGCGACGTCGTTAATAGTTGTATCATAGCTGAAATTTGGATGAATAATAAATTTTTCTACAATATTAACATTGCCTAATGGCCAGTAGTTTGTTCCATAACGAATTTTAAGGTTGTCGCGCAGTTCGTCATTTTCATATCTAAAACAAATGTTGAACGTGACATGATTCCCTATGTTTGCAGCATTTAAATTGTACTTAAAATTTATTATTTTGATTATTTTCATACTTACTTGTGCAGACAATGTGCAGCTGTTAATATCCAGCTTTGATGGATGATAGAGCCACCACAAAAATGACTATCATTCCATTGAACTGATACCTGCCAAGGAAAATTTCCTATATCGACTGCCACTCCACCGACTATGCGATTCTCTATTTCTTCGACAATGGGAGTGAATAATATAAAAAAAAATATTTTTTTCTAAATTGGAAACGACTTAGTACAAATAATAATTTTTAATAAGAATAACTAAAAAGTAATAACACTAATTGGTTAAATTCTTCGCAAGATTGTTTAGAAAATAAAAATACAAGCATAATATAAATATAAAGTATAGATCTATCAATTCACTTTACAGAAATTTGTCTTTTATAATTATACTTCTATTTATTTTTGTCACAAATCTTACCTTGACTTGGTAAAAGTTGGGAATCGATACATCCGATCAAGGCGATTATTAATAGAAGTTTTATCATCTTAATTTTATTTGATCGTATTTGCTACTAAATTATTTTAATATTACAATATATTTATTTGCTCAAGACTTCAAGAAATTCATGTACAACAATATTATTTTATTTTAAAACTGGGCAAAAATAATTATACGCTTATTTAAAACTGCTACACATAATGGTGCAAAGCAAATGGAATATGAATTTGATAAAAGAAACATTATATTAAAATAATATCAAAATTTATAGTTTGAAAATACAAAATAGACAGGCAGAAACTTTGTGTAATTGATTACTTAAAATATTGCATAAAATATTATATTCCTACATTAGTTTAAATAAGGGACAAAATTGTATCACTTTGTTCGGAATTATAATACTTATAAAGTGTATATTATTAAAATATTTTAATGCATTGCTTCATTTGAGGATAAGTTTAATTAGAAAATTTTATGTAATTAATAAACCACTTTTAATAAAATACTTATATAGGCTATAATTGTATGGGCTATTCAACTACTTGCATTTCAAATTTTATGTCAGAAGTACATATTAAACAAGTTGAAAGTGGCATTTAGCCTTAAGATAAGGTGCATGAAATTCCCGAAATGTGTGGGAATTGACTTAATCAAACAAAATTGAAACTCACTTTTCTGCTATTTACAAAGAAACGGCTCAGCCAATCGTTGCAGAAAACTGAGATAAGATAATCCACATCGAAATACATCTATAGGTTTTAAATTTTTGAAATCGGTTCAGGCGTTTTTAGGCAAACGTCGATGAAAGTTCTAGTTTTGACAAACGCCAAAAAAAACGAAATTAGTTTTTGCAAACTTTGCCGAATTTTTAAAATTGAACGACTTATCGGAGGGCCGTAATATTTTAGTATAATATAGGACTATGGTATACTCGTATACCGTCAAAAAACATTCATAAAAATTGTCGAACAAAATTTTTTTAACACTACATTACAAGAAAACGGCCTGTCCGATCTTTACCAAAAGCTAATCTTCACGATTCCCAACCAATATCTTTCGAACGGCTTTTATATACATTAAAACCGTTCTAAAATATAAAATCGATTCAGATTTACAAAGAAACGGATTGTCTGTTTGTCGCGCAAAACTGAGAAATGCTAGTCCTCATCGAGATACATCGAATGGCTTTCAACTTTTTGAAATCGGTTCAGTCGGTTTTGAGTAAACGTCGATTTACGGCTAAAAATCTGCTCTCACACACACATAGTTTTTACAAATTTGGTCTCATTCGATTCAGCATGGCTTGAAACGTCGATAAAACATAAAATTAGCGAATCGGATTTTTTGATGAAAACATAAACATTTCCTTCGAGATGTTAATAGTACACAGTAGTGTAAAGCGGGACTTGAAGGTCTGCGTATAAAAAGGTTCACTACCAATATCTGAAAAACGAGTAATGTTGGAAATCTTTTACCTGCAGTATTTGAAAGTAGGGGATAAACGATATGTAACCTGTCATTGCATTAAATCATGCGGTTTTGCTGTCACAAACGGCTATATTGTCTATTTAGTAACAAAAGTTTTTTTTTGTAATTAGTATTTTTGATTTTGAGCTTGGTTGTTTATTAGTTTGCAATACATGAATGTAAATTATAAGTATATTTCATTTAACATCTTTTATAAGATGTACAGTTATTTTTAAGTTCAATAACTTTAATGTAGTTGAACAAACAATTTTACAAGAGATGAATTAAATTAATAGTTATACCAACTCTGATAATGAATCCTTATGATAAGGTTCCATATGACTCTATGTAATACCTAAAAAGCAATTATTATTTATATTTGAATGTAAGAACTTTGAATATAATATTTTACTAAATAAAAATGTGATACTATTTCTCAAACATTAGATATATGTATGAGTCTTCGGAATCATATGAGCAGCAGTGAAGAATTAAAATAACATTTTATAATATAAACATTACATTTTATTAGAATTGTTTTTGATAGCTATTGCAATATAACAGTTGGTTTTAGTTCTTCAAAATCGTGACAGTTTATTTGAGTGTTAGTTGAAAGTTACATGCTTGGTGACCAATGAATCCAATGAATCTCTTATAATGTGATAATATAGTAACTGATATTCAAATAAATATGTAAGCTTTTCCTAATCTAATCTGAAATTATTCTGTGCTGATGTTAATTTAAATAAATTGGTTTGCTATCGTAAATTATTCAGCAATGTAAAATAATCATTATTTTACACGCCAGTCTGTTGTCTTATAAAACTTCTGATGGTCGGTGCGCCAACTCTTGCATATAGACCAGGGGCATGTTCCCTTGCACATCCTAATCCCCATGAAACAATTCCTATTTGCCTAGTATTTGTGTCAATTAATGGACCACCACTGTCACCTTGGCAGGAATCGACTCCTCCATCAGCATATCCAGCACAAATCATACTGAAATAATAAAACATAATGTATCTGGGCTTCAGTCATTTTCTAAGTAAATATATATGTACATATTAAACAAATTAATCTGACAAAAATTAAAATCTGGTAAGAATTTTATATAATTCCTGATTTGATACCTAATTGTTCATATTCAAAAACACGAGATATTTTTGCGTACACTTTGCTAATTAATTCTTCTATTACATTTTTGTGTAAAAAATATATTGACAAAATACATATTGAAATTACAAGAGAAATTTACAACTCTTAAGATTTTAATGCATTTTTTTGCAAACAGTTCTCAACAACAATTCTCAATTTTCATTTGATTTTGATTTAATGTAAATCAGTTGAGCTGGATATCCATATTTTAATAAATTGTACTCAGCATAATTTTGAATAACTATTTTTGGTAATATTTCAAATTTACCGAAGTTGTAAATTGTTTCATTTTGTAGTTTATTTATTAAATATTTAATTTAATAAAATTAAATTTAATAAAAATTTAATATATTATAATTACATAATATTTAGAAATTAACTTACTTTGTATTAACCGAAGAGTACAATCCAGAGTTCATAATTCTGCAATCATTTCTGTATATGATTGGAACTAAAGCTCCACGTAAAATCTGCGAACCATTATTAGCTCCTTCCTATTACATACGTTATTTTATTAATAATTATATATTATAACAATTATCATTTATATTTACTTATATTTTTAAATATATTTCAAATATCTTGCATCGCAAATCCAATTGATTCAAACAAGATTTAATCATCTAACGCTTAAAATGCAAAAAATGGAGACATGACAACTCTAGATCACTCTGCCTAAATTTTCCATTTGAGATAGTTTTTAGTCGATCAATCTATATATTAGTATTATTTCATCTATTATAATTATAATGGGATAAAAGTACCATCAAAAACTGAAAACCATATAGTGGCTGTATTGTGATAATTTGAGATTTCATTTTTATAACCTTCTTTTAACTTTCCGTATGGCAAGTTATAGTAATTTTAATATAAATTACAATATCTTATAATTGTCTCATTACTGTTTTATGACGTATAATTTCTGGCATAAATCAAAATTATTTAGTGTATATTAAGCTAATTATTCCGCAATTTGCAGACTGCAGGCTGCAAAGTAATGCTTAGTAGTAATGCCATTTTAGTTTCATATAGTTGAAAGTGGCATTTTGTCTTAAGGCAAGTTGCATTAATTTTCCGAAATAATTGACTTAATTCAACTTCACGATTACGTATATCATGTAAGTAGTCCCTGATATTATTTAATGATTTAAATAAATGGTAACATTTTTAATACAGCTTATGAAGCTTTGTAGACCTATTTTTCCGCTGATTTCCGCGACTTTTGACAAAAACTATGATAAATTTTCAAAATTAAACTACTTTTAAATTAAAAATTTAGTATGTTCTTAAAGACCAAGATGTCTATCAACATAAAAAATTCTATCTAAAAAAAATTTCAACAGTTAATTAAAAAGAAACGGCTTGGCCGATCTTTGTCCAAAAATACTCAGTACGATTCCCAAATAATATCTATCGAATAAATTTAGAAATTTTAAAATTGAGTCAGAATTTTTGGCTAAAATGTGATGAAAATTTTTAGCTTTTCTCTTAATTGCTAAGTAACGGCTCAGCTGATCAATGCATAAATCTGAGAAACGGGAGTCCTCATCGAGTTACATCGAAGGGCTTTTAAACTTTTGAAATCAGTCCAGCCGCTTTTTGGAAAACATTGATTAAAAATCTGTTCACATACACTCACAAATATATGCTTTTTCCAAATTTGGTCTCGTTCGATTCAGAATGGCTTGAAACGTCGAGAAAACATAAAATTAGCAAATCGAATTTTTTGATGAAAACAAACTTCTTCGGTTAAAGTTAAAAATTAAAACTAAAAGGGTATATTAACTAATGTTGGATTTTAGGTGTAAAAAACTCGATATACCAGAAATATCATGTTCATTGTAATATACTGTGATCTGGAGTAACAAAGTTTATTGTAATTAGATCGGCGCCAGAACAAGGTGCATATTAGGGTTAAACTAGCAAAAATTATATTCTTACCCTTGTGTCACCCCAGCCAGTAACAATTGCAGGTGAATAAGGTGCAGGATCTTGACCTTCTTCGACCAATGATATTTTTTGAGTGCCATTTGTGAAAGTAATTGGAGTTCTCAGTTGAAGAAGGGCCGCGTCACTATCATATGTCACATTGTTAAAATTTGGATGAACAATAGATTTTGCTACAACAGTAGCGGTACCTAATTGCCAATTGTTGTTGCCAGAATGAATTTTAAGGTTGTCGCCTAGTTGGACATTTTTAAAGCTGAAACAAAAAATGAATAGTAAAGCGTTTTCTGATACTGTACGTGTTCAGTGTTTAAGCACTATTTTTTGATACTTACTCGTACATACAATGTCCTGCAGTCAGTATCCAGCTTCTATCGATGATGGAGCCACCACAAAAATGACGATCTCTCCATTGAATTGATACCTGCCAAGGAAAACTTCTTATATCGACTGGTACTCCACCAACGATGCGACTTTCTACTTCTCTAACAGTCGGAGCTTCTCCTGAAAGAATATAAGGGATAAAAGTTTTCTTCTGAATTCAAATAATTTTGCATAAAATAAAATTAACAATATGAAAGAGGGTTAGCAAATACCCTTTGACTTGTTTGACTACGTATGTAAAAAGAACCATTTCTATTTTCCTAGAAATTCTATAATGTAAAAAGTATTAAACTTATTTAATGATAATAGGTTTTACTTAGCTTGTTTACTAACTGTTACATTTGTTTAATTAATATTAAAAAACTTACGACGTCTTGGTAAGCGTTTAGAAAGGACACATCCAATCAGGGCGATTATTACCAGCAGTTTCTTCATCTTAATGCTACCTCTACGTATTTCTTACTAAATTATTTTGATATTACCTTATATTGTGCAAAACTTTGAAAAAATTGACGCAAAACGATAAAACATATTTGTTATTCTAAACCTAGACAAATATAATGGTATGCTCATTTAAATAACTCAGTTTTCAATCAGCTGCTACACATAATTACCCTACGCAAATGGAATGCGAATTTGAAAAAAAAAACATTATAGATTAAATGTTCCTGTTTATGAAAACAATGTCTAAATTTTAATTTGTAAAAAACATATGTAAAATAGACAGAAACTATGTGTGATTGATTTGTTGAAGTTGCGTGGATTTATTTAAATATTATTTTTTTTGCGTTAATTTAAATGAGAAGAATATTTATAACATTTTGTTTTCAATTTTACCACTTATGGAATATTATTACAATATTTTAGTGCCTGCCTTATCTGTTCGCAGGGTGAATAATTATATCTCAAATTATGTATCTAACTCTAATTTTAATAAATCATATTAAAATATTACTGAATACTAATTAAAGTCTAATTTAAATCCATAATCGCTTGAGCAAAAGTATATATATATATATATATATATATATATATAAATATATATATATATATATATATATATATATATATATATATAGAGAACATATAGTAAGGAGATTGGTTTGGGTTGTACCAGGGTACGGTAGTGACACTCGACATGGAATGCTGATTTTGAGATAGGGTCCAAAAAAAAGAAAATGAAGTATGTTTTTTCGAGCAAGTTTCCAGTATTGCATTGAATCAGCGCTCTACATTAACTTGATCTGTAGGCTTTTAAAGAGTCAAAAGTATTTGTTCGATTTGTTTTATTAATAACTGTTACTTGTATACAGATAGATCACTTTGTTTGTTATTTTGGTGCAAGATGAACATTAGTAGTAAATTACCAATTAGAAATTAATGTTTGAATAGATAATTTATTTAGCTTAGTCATCATGTTTTCAAGAGTGTGCATTGGGTACATTTGTGACAACTTTTGTGGGTACGGTTGAGACATGTATTTCTTGTTTTTTCGGGTGAAGATTAAACAGATGAAGGAAAATCTAGCGTAACCAACACGAAATACGAAAGGAAAAAGGAGAGAAAATTTAGTACTAAAGAAAATATTTCACAAAGATTTTTTGTTAACTTTGCTTAAAAAAATAGTTTTGTTATATTAAATTTGTATGCTTGATTTAAATAATTATGTTGTGTTGTGTTATATAATTCTGACAATAAAAATTGTTATGAACCATTTTAGTGTTTATAGCTATTGTTTTTAATCTATGATTATATTTACACCCCCAGAACGGTTGTGACACTCGCTCTTTACTTGTATGATTTGATTTTCCATCGCATTTAAGGACAGTATTTCCACGCAGACAAGTATTCAAATTAATTATTATTAATAATATTTAATTCATTTTTCTCCCAGCTAACTGGTAAATTAACAAAGTTATTGCTGATCAAGGAAGTGGCAGTCTTTCTTACATGAGGTAATACAGGATTGTAATAGTATAATAATATAGTCCGGTTATATAATATTATTGTAATAGTATAAAACAAAGAATAGGTTATTGATTTTCTTACTGCGAAAGTTACCTTTCTGTACCTATTAGTTATCAATGCTAGGGGAAGTATGGACAATTTTTTGTAAATATTTTTTTATTCTCTATTTTATGTACAACTGTCCAGTTAAAGACATTTAATAAATTTGGGAAATTTACAATTGTCAGCCGTAAAGGAAGGGACATTGTATACTAAATGGGCATATTGGGAAAACAAATCAATAGTTATTTAATTATTATCATTAGTTATAATATTAACAATATTTTATTCATAATGATATATCTTAACTATTTACTTATAAATAATTTCTTATAAACAATGCGTAAGTTATTTCAATCTTTATCAGGAAAATTGATGACTTACATCCAGTGGCGCTTTTCTTTTTAACCTTCGTCGATAATTCTCTGTAATTAAGGAGTTTGCTAATGAATTTGGGTAGTATAGTTTCTATTCATCTTTGGTTCATTGACTACCCGTTACATAGTATTCGAATTTAGTTCGAACTATAATAACTTATTAACTTCCCGAAGGAGAAGTTTATGTTTTCATCAAAAAATCCGATTCGCTAATTTTATGTTTTCTCGACGTTTCAAGTCATTCTGAATCGAATGAGACGAAATTTGGAAAAAGTATGTGTGTGTGTGCGTATGCACCAACAGATTTTTTGCCGTAAATCGCCGTTTTCTCAAAAACGGCTGGACCGATTTCAAAAATTTAAAAGCCATTCGAAGTATCTCGATGAGGACTATTGTTAGTCAGTTTTGTGCGACGATCGATTTCGACGATTTTTATGATTATTTTTTTGACGGTAGATACCATAGTCTTCTATATCATACTAAAATATTACGGCCCTACGACAACAGGTTCAGCTTTAAAAATTCGTCAATGTTTGCAAAAATTGGTATCGTTTTTTTGGCATTTTTCAAAATTAGACCTTTGATCGACGTTTTCTCAAAAACGCCTGAGCCGATTTTAGAAATTTTAAAGCTATTTGATGTATTTCAGTGAGGACTATCGTTTGTCAGTTTTGTGTGACAATCTGCCAAGCCGTTTCTTTGCAATTTGAAAAAAAGTGTTAAACTTTTCGTCCACATTTAAGCTCATCCTACCGAACCGATTTTAAAAGATCAAAAACTGTTCGAAAGATATTAGTTGGGAATGGTACTGATTAGTTTTAGGTGAAAATCTACCGAGCCGTTTTCTTGTAATTAACTGTTGAAAAAAAGTGTTAAACTTTTCGTCCACATTTAAGCTCATCCTACCGAAGCGATTTTAAAAAATCAAAAACTGTTCGAAAGATATTAGTTGGGTATTGTACTGATTAGTTTTAGGTGAAAATCTACCGAGCCGTTTTCTTGTAATTAACTGTTGAAAAAAAAATTTAAGCCGATTTTCATGGAACTTTTTTTGGCGATATACATCATGGTCTTATAGAACCTTCTGTAATATTACGGCCTTACGACAAGTAGTTTAATTTTAAAAATTCGTCAAACTTTACTAAGATTATTATCGTTTTTTTTAAAGTAGGATTGATAAAGTATATCATTTACACATTTTTTTTTGATTAAGTCGATTATTTACACATATCGGGAAGTTCATGTAACTTGCCTCAAGGCTAAATACCAAACCAACTAGTTTATTAAGGAAAAATGCAACCTATTACTAAAAACCATTTTGTCCATAAAACACGCATAAAATGACAGATAGGGTAAAGAATACTGAGATGCTATTTAAAAAAAAAAACAGTTCACAAAAAAATCGTTTTGTCCTCTATATGCGAGCCATACATTGTAATCAATTGGTAACCAATCTTCCCTGAGCTCAGAATGGAAAAATGGGCTTTAGCAACAAATGCAAGTCTTTTCTTTTTACCGATGGATATTTTGGTCTGCTATTAGCAATTATTTCTTGCAAACTTGGGGAAGAAGTTAAAAGCCAAAATTACTTTTGACAGATTTGAATTTTTTTTTTGACGCTGTAATTCTTGAGAAATAGAACTGTCATTTTGTCCATTGTATATAAGTATGCCATTTTGTCCGAAACTGAACAAAAATGAATAATTAAACAAAATCCAAACATCTGTTTATTGCAATAAAATTATTTAAAGTTAGTAGTACTGCCATAAGTTTATTGATTTTAATTGAAATTATTACAAATATCAATAAATAGGTTTTCAAAAACATGAGGAAAACACCCTCAAAATAATTTTTTTAAGGCGCGAAACACGTTTGAATTGATTACTATAACAAGATTGTGACAATGATTCTCAACATCAGCTTTTTCGTAAAGTATGAAATAAAATATCCTTTGCCTGGGTTCATCAATGATTTATTTATTACTACGGTTAACACATATTTACAATCCAATTTTATTTTGAATAAAGGAGCGCACTAGGGGATGCGCGACACGAACATAAACTCCAGGAAACGAGGGACTTCCACATCCTATGCCCCAAGATACGACTCCAATCAATTTTCCCCTTGAATCTGTCAATGGACCTCCACTGTCTCCTTGACAAGAATCTTTGCCACCACCAGGAACGCTTGCACATATCTCACTGAAAATAATAATTTTACTTAAATATAGAGTAGTTGTTGTAAAAAAGTTTCAAACCATTTATTTAAAATTGAGAGGATCAAATTCTAGAGGACATTTATAATTGTGTATATTTTTGCGAATGACTATAGCTAATATTTTAAAACTAATCCTTAATGTTAATAAGAAAATCAATCTGTCAATATTTGGATGTGCTGACTACTGCATTTTCTTATACCTTCATGCCATGCAGTGTTTGTTGTAAATATTTTTTTTATTATATTTTTTTTTTTATTTTTGAACAGCAATCAGATCCTTATGTCCTATGAGCTGTTGGGCTGAAACTTCTCCTTCCTTCGTATCTTTTCAGATGGTAACCCAATGGTTAATCCATCCATATTTGATGATTTTGTTATTAGAATTAATCTAATAGGGCTGACATTTTATTGGTGCAGCAATGCCGGGCAAGGGCTATTTTCACTTGGAAACATATTGCTATCTATATTTTCAAGTAAATATCGTTGTCACTGCTGCCTGACATCAGGCTGCTCGAAGTGGGTATCGAACCCGGGACCTCTGAAACAAGTCCCGTCGCTCTCACCTACACATGGTTGTTATAATATTGCAGGATTCTAGAAACCTGTATTTAATAATACCTTTGAACAGTTTTTCAATTTACGTTTGAGAAGTTTGAGAATGGACCAATTCTGCGGTAACATAGATGATAACATACCGTTGTTATGGAAACACTATCTTAACCTTCTTTATTGGTACTAAAAACTGTGAAAATAACTATGGGGCCAATTTTGCAATAATATAGACGATGACTGACCGTTGTTATAGCAACGTTATCTTATCCTTCTCTATTGGACTAAAAACTCTGAAAATGCTATCTATTTTTACTATGCGATCTAGAGTATTTTACATATAAAACAGTATGTTAGAAATGCACATCACAAAGATGGAGTTCTGATGACTTCTAGGTTTGTTCATATGTATAATACTCCTGATAGCACTGCAAATAGATAGTATTTTCACAGTTTTTTGTACCAAGAAAGAAAGATAAGATAACGTTGTCATAACAACGCTATGTTTTCGTCTATGTTATTGCAAAATTGGCTCCTATGGCCAATATGAACCTATAGTTATTTTTAGAATCTTAAAGTTAAAAGTTTTGTAAAAAAAATTCAAATTTTAAAGTAAATAGTAAAAGTGCAGTTTTTAATAGAAAATTAAACAAAGCTATATCAATACAGAAAACAATATTTGCAAATATATTATTATATTCGGTAATACAATTCCATTATATTGATTAAAAAACTTAGTAACATTATTTCAATAAGAACGCTGAATCAAAACAAATCAGTTAATTGGAAGATATGTTAACATAATTAAATCTATTTGAAAAATATTTATGAATCATTTTAACTTACTGTGATGATATAGTAGCAAGATCTTCATAGGCCTTTTGACATTCACTATTAGATACAGCATTCACTTCAACTTCTTTCAGGTGGTGTGATGATTCAGTACTCTAAATAGTATGTATATATATATATATATATATATATATATATATATATATTTATATATATATATATTAGGGTGGTCCTTAATATGGACATTTTTGAATTTCCTTGCTTCCAAGAGCTCAAATGTTTCTAAATTAATAAAAAACTATTCTCTGAAAGTTTTAGCTTTTAATATCTTTTAGATAAAGCACAATTCAAAGTTTTGGATGAAAATAGCATGAAGAAACTTTCAAAAATGTTGCACAGCGTCGAATTTCCAATATAAATAAGAAATAAGAAATGACACGAATTTTCACTTTTAATTCATTTGTAGCGAAGTTATACTTAATTTTTTATTTTAATTTTCAAAATTTTTTCCATGATATTTCCACACGAAGTTTGATTGAATTGCGAACTATCTAAAAGTTAATACTAAAAGCTAAAACTTTCAGAGAGTTGTTTTTAATGCAATTAGTAACCACCTAATGCTCACATTTTTTAAAAATTTATTGGCAAAAAGTCATCATATTTGTTAATTTTTGTAGAATTCTTAGAATATTGTTTCTACGAGATTAAACATTAAAAAAAAGTTATCATGGTTTAGGAAGTAACCAAGTTACAAACCTAAAAAACGCATTTATGTATAATTATATTTTAGGTATTGAAGTTATTGAAATTATTTACATTCATATACTAACTTAAAAATAATATAAAATTTTATAATTTTGTTTTAGTGACACAATCGTCCAACAAGTTGCAATTTGTTTAAAAAAATACCTATGGTCGAACTGAGTTCGTTCGTGTGCAATTTGCCAGTTTTGCGCAAACGAATTAGGCTCGGCCAAAAGCATTAAGTGGTTAAAGCTAATTTTATAACTTTATTATTTGCCAAATTTAATAATTTAGCAATTGAATTCTTAGATACCTCTGTAGTTCCCCAACCCGTCACCGTGAGTGGTGACCCTGTTTCGGTTTCCTCGTTCTCTGCTGGTAGGGCAACAGGGCGCGCATTAGTAATTTCAAAATTGAAGGGATCTTTCACAAGAAATAATACCAAGTCCACAGTTTCATGCTTGAATATTTGTTTTATTTGGTGCAAGGTGCCGCCTCCAAACCAGTAGTTACTTCCAGCACGTAATTTGAAGCTAGTTATTTCATTACTATTTAAGAAGATACACAAAGACATTAGATGAATTTATTAAAAAAATAACAAATATCATATCGTAAAGCGTTATCGTCTAATATTGTAAAAATAGATGTTGTTGGTGCTACATGTTACTAATAACTAAACTCGTAATTAAGTACAAATTTAAGTACGTGGTATTTTGACTACATGCAAGGTGACCATACGTCCCGGTTGGGCCGGAATAGTCCAGATTTTCGCCAGTCTTTAGCGAATTTGTTACACACACATGCTTATTCCAATTTTTATGTCAAACTTTTCAGAATAACTTGAAACATCGAAAATATATAAAAGTTATGGAATTTTCTAGGTTAAACAAACTAGTTGATCAAAAATAAGCTTTTATAATACAATTCATTATCCACGTTTTTCCACTTGGTAGAAATTGGTGGATTTTATTTTATTTCTACCAATTTGTATTTTTCTTATATACTGTCTGTTCAAATCTAATCAAGATCATGTTTCTTGACAGATACCTTAAAGATGGAACGTACCTAGTTCCGAAACGTCTTTAATTCTTTGTTTGAAGTTCTACAAAATATTCACACGCCATGACTCTACCATCTAAATATATATATATATATATATATATATATATATATATGTTTGATAAACTGTCTTTATTTTTTAATTAATTTAAATTTATTTTCAGCAGAATTCAGAGAACATCAGTAGTCATTAAAGAAACGAAGTAAAGAATTCACTAAAACAAAAAGGCAACTTAATATCGTGAAAAATACAAAAAAATCCAAGGATATAGATGATACTATTTGCAACAAGTGAATAAAAACCATCAAAAAGTACAAGGACAAAAAAATTTTGTTGCTGAGGACCAGAATAGTGTTTGTGCTAATCGTGTTGTTCATAATTTTACAAATAAGTTTGTACACAAAGATTTGATTAATGAATAAATCTCGAAAGCAATTGACATATTCCTGTTAAATTTAATACTTGTGATTTTCACTTTACCAGATATTTGAAATTTAAAAAATGGATCGATTAAACTTGTTGCCAAAAACAAACAAAAATTATTAGATCACGTTGTTCCTGGTGAGTTTCCAAGTGTCGATTGGAAAATTTTGATACCAGACTAGCCTTTATCGATTTAATCCATCAAAAGATACCAGGATTTTTAAGGACCAACCATAAAAGTGGAGATTTCGAAGAAAATACGAATCTATGTGTATTTAGTGTATTAGTGTATTAGTGGTAATGATTTTGATGGTCAGAAGAACATCATTATAAAAATACATCCGTTTTTCACCGTTTTTGAGCTATTTTTTAATCCGAGTTTATTTAAAGTTTAGCGGTTGTTTAGTGCTCTTTGTAGAGACATTTATAGTGCTTTAGTGCAGTGATTGTGTATTGTTTCTGGTTCCCGGTTCCTGGTTGCTGGTTGCTGATCAGCTTTCTTCTGGAAATCACGAGGTAATGGGCAGATTTTGTTAGCAGAAATCAATATTTTATAATATATTTGAAAATTATTATTTTTTATTTATTCTTCAGACAACAAATTGGTAATCGAGATGTTCCAGAAGAATCGGTGATTTTAAACAAAGGTTAGTGCATTTTCATTCCTAAGCATGATTTCTAAGAGTACGGTCACACGTCTTGTTGTGGATTCACAAAATTTGATTTTTGTGACAACGTAGTAATGGTTTTTCACGGATCTATTTTTTAATCCGAGTTTGTTTATTGTTTAGTGCTCTTTATAAAAGCTTTAATAGTGCTCTAGTACAGTGATAGTGTATTGTTCCTGGATCCTGGTTTCTGATCAGCTCTCTTCTGGAAATCACGAGGTATTGGACAGATTTTTTAGCACAAATCACTATTTCATAATATATTTCAAAATTATCATTTTTTTCTATTTTTCAGATAACAAATTGGTAATTGAGATGTTCCAGAAGAATCGGTGAAACGATCACACGCCTCGTTGTGGAATCACAAAAATTGATTTTTGTGACAACGCAGAGAATGTTTTTCACGGTTTTTAAGCTATTTTTCAATCCGAATTTGTTTAGTGCTCTTCATATAGACTTTTTTAGTGCTCTAGTACAGTGATAGTGTACTGTTTCTGGTTCATGGTTCCTGATCAAGTCTCTTCTGAAAATTACGAGGTAATATACGAACATAAATGTTTATTATATTTTTTTAGAATGGACATAATTGTGATCGTACTTCTCAATAATCCATAAATTTCTTTCAGCCTAATAACAAAAACACTTTTTTAAATAGAAGTGAGTGTAGTAGGTAAATTCGCGTAAATTAAAAAATTAATAAAACTTAAGTGCTAATTAAATTAATTTTGAATCATTTCGCATAAAACAAAGTGTGTGTTTGAAATAATTGACTTTGTGCAGTTTTGCAAAGAAATGCTGACATCCATGCAGCCTGAGGTAAGAAGAAGTAGATGTATAAGACTTTAATTAATCATTAAAGTAATAAGGTGGACGGAAACGCCAAAGTACAGTACTTGTAAACGTGTAGAATTTTTTTATTTTATAAAACACAAAGGCAGATTTAGAGCGAGAATGTTAGTGATGTAAATTTTTGAACTCTTTGGAAAAATTTTCAAAAAAACGCAGCTGATATCTATAAAAGAAGTATTTGTAAATGCCTTGGAACATTAATGACTGACATATACCTAAACTTTATTTCAGAATAACTACTGCCAAAGAATGCACCTCAATTTGTATCACATATATGTGCTGATATATGTTAGTAAGTTATAAAATCATTTTTAATTAAATAAAAACTAAAATGTTTTGTAAACTATTTAAAAGTGTTAGTCTGTTAACTAACTTATATTTAAGTACTAACATTATTTTGTTAATGGCATCTGGGGTTCTGGGAGAGATTAGCAAAAATTTATAAAACGACTTCAACAACGTAAAAACAAGCAAAAAAATTCCAATCAATTTGAAACTATGCTTACAAAATATATTAACGCATTAAAACATAATATAGGTTTTTTGAACTCTATTATTTTACATTTTGAAGAAAAATGATTAAAAGATAATATAAGATAAAGATTAATAGATTAAATGATATCAGTAAAAATATTCCATAACCATTTATAACTATAAACAGTAATAAATAATTGGTTAATATTTTAAATAATTTTTAGCCTCATAAAAACATTAAAATTAAAAAATTGTTTCTAAAATTCATTAATTTTTTATAATAAAACCACTTTTTGTAGGCCTATAATATTTTAGAATGCTTGTTAAGTTTCCATCGCCATATAAAGTTTTATTAAAATCATTCAAAAAAATCCTACAGTTAATTGCGATGAAATGGTTCGATGGAGCTTTATCGAAAACTAATCAACACGAATTTTAATTGATTTTTTAACCCGTTTTTTTAATTTTAAAAATCGTTCTAGCATTTTGGGCAAATGGACTCGCAAAACTTATAAATGAGAGTCCTTATCGAGTTTCATTAAATTGTTTTCAAATTTTTTACGAAACGTCATATTTAAATTTTCAAATATTCTCAAACGATTCGGAATGTCTTGGAACGTCAAGAAAAGATAAAATTAGCAAATTGCATTTTCTGTCAGAAGAATAATTATCACCTTCAAAAAGTTAATAAATAAATTAGTAAATTTGTTGAACTTTTATTAATTTTCTGTAGGGCTGTTAAAGTAATAGTCAAAAAATAGAAAATTTGTGCATATCTCTGCGTTTCGGTTTTTGAACATTTTAGCATACCTTAAAAAAAATTGATGTGTGTATGTGTATGCATATCGATATAATTTTTCGTCCACGTTTTCGGGAGCACGGATCAATCGATTTGAATTATTCAAACAATATTGGTAGGAAGTTTAGTTTCTGGCAAATACAGGTCCAGCTGTTTCGAAGATAAGGAAAAAAATGCCGGAAATGAAAGATCAGTTTTTGCGAGAAACGGGCATCCGATTAGAATGATTCAAAATATTTAGTACGTATTGAAGGGAAAACGTGCTGATTAGTTCATTGCAAAGGTAGTTCCAGACGTTTCGGTGATGCGGAACAAAAAGTCCAATAAATACCAGTTATTAGGAGAACGGACCATTTTTTCAAAAAACACTTTGTTTGTGTTGATACTGTGAAGAAATTATTAGTTTCTGGGGATGTTTTATTAAAATACGGAAAGTTCCAGCAATTTGCCGTAAGCCACTAGAATAAAATTTATTTTGATGTACCTGTCAGTATCCGGTATGCAATGAGCAGCGCTTATTGCCCAATTTTCGCTCAATATTGAGGCACCGCACATGGGGGCTATCCAGTATTTCACCAAACACAATTGCCAAGGATGGTGCGAAATGTCAATATCATGGCCTCCTACAATGCGCCCCGCACTTTCTTTTCTTTGCTCTATTTTCGATAGAAAATTTATCTCAAATTATTATCCGTAGACTTAAAGATGTTAGAAGATTATTCTGGGTTCAACTATTAAGTAATAATAAGGATACTTTGATAATATTTAGTGACTATCAACACTATTGTATTTATTATTTATCAACATTAGCCATAACAGAAATTATTAAAACTTACTGCATGATACCAAATTTACCAGTATGAACAATAGCAATAGCTTCATATTTTCAATTTGTTCTCGGAATATGTTTTTGATGGAATATTTATATATATATATATATATATATATATATATATATATATATTATAGACAAGCGTTTAAAGTAATCTATTTTTACGAGTTAGAGGTATAATATATCACACATTTTACGAGTTTTGCATTAGTTTTTTATTTGATGTAAGTCCTTGTCTTTATCTTCGTACTTTTTGTAACAATTAAATAATTAAATTGATATTATGTACTAATGTATAAACATTCTTTTGCAAAACTTTTAATTTATATTTTAATTATATTCAACTAAAAAGCAATGAAAGTTTATAATAGTTCTAAAATTTGAACGCCCTGAATATTTAGAGAAATGTAAGTTTGTATATATTGGCAACGAAAAACAAGGACAATATAATTCAAGGTTATAAAGTATTTAATTTCTTGTAGCAATTTGCTGAATATTATTTGCTGAAAAGTGCATACTAACAAACTGATTGTCATTTATTCTTTTTTAAATTTTTTGTTAAATCTTGAAATGTAACATGAATTCATGTTAATGAGTTGCTCGTCTATAAATTTTATTACTTTTATAAAATTTTCAAAAAACATAAAAATAACTATTTCTTAAAAAAAAGAGTGCGCGTAAGGTTCACACGCGATTGAAGTAAAAATTTTTTGCTATTGTACGAGATGGAATTTAAGTTAAAAATAAATGCATTATATAACAATTTTCAATATTGTTTATTAGTAATAAGGTAACACTCGTGATGCACACATTTATTAATGTCACTCATTATACATATTTATATAATAATCAATTATAAATCATATAATTATAATAGTTTTTAAAATATTTATGATATTTGAAAACAATAATGTAATTAAAGTCAGACTTTAAATATGACATGATCGGTTTGTCATTGTAATTAGCATTTAGGACTTGAACCTTCATTAGAGAAATCAAGTAATTGCTAATTAATAAATTCTATAATATTCGTTCTCATAGTGAATTATTTTAAACAACGTCTGAAGAAATATTGTTTTCACAATTTCACTTATCATGTAATTGTGTTTGAAAAACTTCGTGTAATTAAAATTAACATTCATTGACTGCATGTATTTTTATTGCTTTTTGCAGGCGATACAATCTCATTTTTTGAGCAGCTATAATATCTGTCTTGTCTATAAAGCTATTTTTCACTTAAATAACATAAAATATAATATTTCACTTTAATAACTTAAAATATTCTTTTGATTCAGGCATTTTTTATTAAATCAAGATTTGTACTTCGATGTAACCTTAAAATCTAATGGCATTCCGATCTCCTCGTTGATGTACGCCGGTACGCATACAACCAAAGATTTTTCACACCACGAATAATCACAATTCACTCGACACAACGACTAATCACAATCGACCCGTAGAGAAATGGTTTCATCGAGAGCGAATGACGAACAGTTCGGGCGTAACACTACATTTTCACAGATTTACTCGCTAGTGGCCCCTAAAGAAGTCTTACTTCAAAAAAATCTCTGATAGATAATGAGAAATCAACTTAATACAGAAAAATATTAATGATTGATAAAGATTTTCTTTTATTTTAATTGCACTAAATATTATAAAAAGTCCCGGTTTGCCGGCGACTGGCTTCCACCTTATGTCAGGTGTTTTTCTAAAAGTATAATTGTCACGGAGTTCTTTGTCGCGGATTATTTCGAATTTTGGAGAATTATAGGTTTAAATTGAATTTTGCCAATGAACTGACATAATAAAATTATAATGACCCTTCAAACATCTGATAATGATATATTCAACAAGTGTGGTTATATGAAACATTACGTTGCAAATGCAAATTCCTGAGGGCGAGTTAAATTAGCCTCTCACATTTTTAATTTTGAACTTTTATTCTCAATTATACGAGAATTAGTAAAAATTATAAAAACGTGGTTCTTGACCTCCTGGCATAAGTGCTGGATTATTTTGAATTCTATTTAAGTTATTTAACATAAAGCTCTCTCCCTCCCGGTTTTGGCTCAACAAAATATGGTCGCCTTATATTATAGCATTATTTTCTTTCAGGGCACAACTTGAACCTAACAAACTTACCCTAATTGAAACAATTACTAAAAATGCTGCATTTTAATTTATATTTATCTAATTTTTACACATCACGATTTGAATTTCAAATTCCTGTCATATTGAATATGTAATCCCTTATACTGGTGCTTGCTATATTTGTGTAAACGCCTGGATTGTTTGATCTTCCGCAAACAAAACCCCATGACACGATTCCAACCAATTTTCTATTTTTATCAATAAGTGGTCCTCCACTATCTCCTTTGCAAGAATCTTTTTCTCCTTCATTCACACCAGCGCATATCATGCTATATAAAAATGGTTATAAAAATTATTTAAATACCATTCATAAAAAATGTGAAAGATTACCAAACACATATTATTTTCTAAATATGAATTCAAAATTATGAGAATAAATATATAAAAGTAAGATGTTTTATTATTATATACTAATTATATACTAAATTACTTACTTTTCAGTTATTCCACCAAACTCAGTATATATTTCATCACATGTGTCGTGATCTACAATGTTTAGTTCCACTCCATGCAAATACTTTTCCATAGATCCATTCTCCTGTAATTGTAAATTAATTTCTATTAGTAAAACTACAATCTTTACTTGCAAATTTTGTTGATATTTATGTACTTGACTAAATTCAATCTAAATTTGTGATGTTCCAACTCTAATTTTACTGGATTCGAACCAACTCGTATTCTGTGCCAACTCTGATTTTACTGGATTCGAATCAACTCGCCAAAAAATATTTACTGCGATTCAGAGCATGTTTTTGTAAATGAAATAATAGCGATGTTTATGATATTGCACTGATTTTTTCTGACATGATGGTGGCATATACAATCAACCCTTCGTTAACGCGGCAAGTGCGTATCGTGTAGTATGGGAACCTTGCTATAAAAATCTCAGATTTATCTGTGTGTTAATACGACATTAGTGCTATATGGAGTCTCTGTTATTGGAGGGATGTCGGATTTTTGGTACCCTGTAGTATAGAAACCCAGAGTGTTCCCAGAGTGTCGTGTTGAGTGTTGACTGTACTGTTGTTGTCGTCATATAAAGTGAACAACTTTACATTCAGAAATCCGGTTAGATACCTAAAATAATTACGTTGTCAAACGACCCAAGGTTCTGATTTTTATTCTATATGATTTACCAATGCAGAGGTATTTGATTATCTTTTATTGTAAATTAATTAGAAAATATTTTTCAACCGTCTTCAAAATTAACTTATTTTTGATAACTACAAAACTTTTTTAAAAAGCAATTGGACGATCGACTTACCTCTATCTGATGTTTTTTATATTAGAATTTCTCTAATACTCATGATTTTTTAATAAACATATTCTAGATCTATATATAGATAAATACAGTCAACCTTCGGTTCACACGGCACTTTTGGTACATGGTTTCCATACTACGCGGAGCTAAAAGTCCGACATCCCTCCGACTACACGGACTTCCTATTATACGGTTTTTGTTCAACAGCCCATAAGTTCCTTGCACAACCTATGAGTGATTCTAGGAACTTGATAACAAAAGAGTATTAATGTAAGTTTTATTATCAACTTTTATGTTTTAGACATGCCTGATTATATAATAGCTATCTAAGAACACGTTTGAACTGACTACTGCGTCGCGCCAATTTTTGAATAAGGCGTCTAGGTCATACATGTCATTTCGGTTGTATTACTTCTACTTGAAGTTTTATTTCTTGGTCTCCATACAGCACGAGAAAAATGGTGCGATTTGTACTAACTCGCGCGGTTCCCGTACTGCACTATATAAGTTTCCATAGAACGCACTACGAATTAGCCTGAATTGTATGTTAAATACGAATTTTTTATAGCGCAGTCCCCATACTGCACGGTACGCACTTGCCGCGTAAAGCGAGGGTTTACTGTATAAGTTAAAACTGATGCCGAAACTGATCTCTAACTGTAAATCCATACCTAAATTATATTTAGAATCTAAAATCAATCATTTAAAATCATCGACATATGTTAATGAGATTATAGTTGTCACAGAAATAAGTCCATTGATATATATTTGCTTCAGAGTTGATAAATAATAAATATTAGGGATTACATATATATATATACTAAAAAAAATTATATATTTTATAAAGTAAATATTTATTTAAGAAGAAGAACCAAGAACCTTTGGTTGGAGTGCGGACTATCTTAAAGTTAATATTGAGAGCTAGAACTCTCAAAGAATTCTTTTTCATTAATTTGAAAGCATTTCATCATCTGGGAGCAAGAAAATTCGGAAACAACTATATTAAGGACCATCCTAATATATATTTAATACTTAATTTTTAATATAAACTTAACTTAACTTAATATTTAATTTAAATTACCTTAGAGTGTCCCCATCCGGTGACAGTAACTGGAGCACCAGTCTCTGGCTGATCATTTTTTGCTGCTAAGGTTATTGGTCTAATGGTGCAGACAGTGAAATCAAATGTTTCAGAAACTTTTAGTAAAGCTACATCATAATTCATACTTAAACCATAACCAGGGTGGATCCAAACTTCGCTGATGCCATATACAACTCCGCCTGAATCATGTTGATCGCTTCCAGCACGGAGCGACAACAGTTGTGGAATTTGAAACAAACTAAGAAAATGAAATATTTATTCGCATTTTGTAACTTAAGCAAAATAGTAAATACTTCTTTATTAATATTTCAATAATAATGAATATTATTTTTTAACTTACTCTTCAACACAGTGTGCGGCTGTAATTGCCCAATCTTTGCTGATGATTGATGCACCACATTTATGTTCAGATTCATACTGCAGGGAAAGTTGCCAACCAAATTTTTTTATGTCAACTTCAACACCACCCATTATGCGATTACTTGCCAACGCACATACTAGTTAAATTATTTTAATTATATATTTTTACTATAGTTGCATATATGTCAATATACATGAAGTATTTGAATTAGACTTTTGACACCTCCAAATTAAAAAAACACATATATCTATTTATTAACTTATATCGTTCTTCCTTTTGCAACTAAAATTTAATCTTTTCATACTTACTTGATAAAATGCATTGTATAGCAATGCACACAAATACCAATTTCATTTCAAACTTTATAAAAAATTATCACTTTGATACTAAGTTTATACTTATTATTGATCCCAAATATTTTTTCATGCAGTGATTTTACAAGTTTGTTTCAAAATTATAACTTTGATGAAAATGCATTTGTTACCATCTTATGTATAAAGGCATCTTATCAATCAATTATAGATAAGTTGAAATTAAATTAACATTTGATTCCATAGTTCGAATATTTTGTTTGTTCATAGAGCAATTATTAAGTATATCATAATCACGAATTAAATTATAGTATATCACTAAATAAGAAATATAAAATTAATGTAATTCGATAAGTTGACTTTAGCAAAATGGTCTATTCTTACTGCTCACTTATTTGTCATTTATCCAAATTGAGATAGAATTCTAAATATTGTTATATTTATTATTGTCCAATTTTTTAAATGTCTATTACAACCTTCACCCTGATTTTAGGTTTAATTTGACCGATCTATAAATAAAGATTTTATTTTTACAAGATGACCATTAATTTATGCTTCTATAACTTGCTTAGATTTTGTACCAGTACTTTTTTTTAATTGGCTATAGCATTTAGCCACTTATATTTTTTTTCATTTCTATGCCATACACCTACTAACTTTATTGGCATCGTATTCCATTTTCATATTTCCTATTGATATTTCTAATATTTTATTCTTCAATATTACAAGTACAATTTATATATATATATATATATATATATATATATATATATATATGTGTGTATATATAAAAACATATAAACTATTATGGTTATCACTATATATACAATATATACTATAAACTTGGCCTTTTAAAAACCTATCTGTAAAATGAATAGCAGCAATTATAAATTATTTTTAAATATGTTTTAGTAATAAATAAATTATTTACTACAAATTTTGATGCTATATCAAAAGTAATGTTTATTGAATTTTATTCTGAATACAAATAGTATGGGATGCATTAATAATAAATAAGATGATTACATGATTATTATTTCAATATATTAGATTCCAGTATGGAATCTTATAAAATCTCTAACGTCTTTTGAGTCGACTCTCGTGTATATTCCTGGAATTCCTGGACGGCCACAGCCAACACCCCACGAGACGATACCGTGCAGAACTCCTGCATCATCTACTAAAGGGCCACCACTGTCCCCTTGACAGGAGTCTTTACCGCCTTCTGGTACACCAGCACAAAACATACTAAAAAAAATCCGAAACATCATTAAAATCCAAATAATATTCAATTTGTAATTATGGGAGAAAGTGGTGATTAGTTTTTGGCAATAGCAGGTTCAGCCGTTTCGGACATACCGAGCTAAATGTGCAAAAAATAGCAGTTTTTTAAAGAACTAAGCATTTGATTTGAATGATTCAAAAATCTTTCTGCTTGTGTTGGCGAAACGATTGCTTTTGGGAAAGAACTTTTTTTTCATTTTATTTGTTTTTCATTTTAAAAAATATTTATTTTTGAATATAAAATAATTCGGATTGTAATTCTAGTTCTAGCTAAAGTTTTAAAGCTCACTTAAATACTTCAAATAAATAATTTTAACAATGTAATTCAGTTCTTTTTTATATTATTAAGTTCTTGAATAAGTTTAGTTTATTTACTTTTCATGTAACTTATATAGTCGTCCAATTCATAAGCTCTCATATTTTTTCTGTAAGCATAATGAAAGCTACCGTATTTATAATAATCTACTTAAAACTCTTAATATTCCTCGAATATTTCATTACGGTACGAGAAGTTTCAGAAATTTGCCTTAAGGCACGATGCCCCATACTCCACTAGTTTTCTTTTTGATTATGATTTTATATATAGTCAATGAGAAACTAGGAGTTGATTTTGTAAGTTCATAACGTTAGAATTAAAATTGAATTTAAAAATATTCAGTATAAGAATATTTTGTTCTCGCTTGAACGATATAAAAATAACAAAATATTATTCATAGTAAGTTACGTATTATCTGAAACATAGAAATTTGCTCATCTAGTTATTATTTTTACATGTCTTCAGACATCTTCAAATTTATTTTAAAGATTATAATGGTGTTCACAAAATTTTAAAAAAGAGTTTTTATTTTTTTTTTGTTTTTAACAAACCCTTCAAATTCTTGGATATTAATTTTTTTTTGAAAAAAAAAATTAAAATATGTCTATATATATGTGTATACGTATATGTACTTCATTAATTTCGATATTTCGGAAGATAATTTTATAAGTGGGCCGTATAATATTAAATTAATTTAATTTTTCTAATTATATTTCTTATGGCAATGACTTTGATGATTCCAAAATAATATATAATCATACTTACTTTTCAGTTAATGTTTCATTCCATTTTTGATATTCTTGAATGCATTTTGCTTTGTCAGCTACAGGTATTTGAACGACTTGAAGAAATTGTGACTTATCTCCATTTTCCTGTAAATTTTATAAAAAATGATTTGTTTTAAAATTGATATTACGATATTGATTGTATATCGTTTAATCGAAATAAGCATTTCAATTATAAAAAATTCAATCAAGAATTCTAAAAATTATGATACTTTTGCTATATAAAACAACTGAATGTGTGAATTAAATATTATTATCTAATTCATCATTGAAATATTGCATACTATTGCTTATATTATTTATAAGTAAATTTAATGTGCCAATATTAATATATATTGGGACAATAATATTAATATATATTACATACATATCCAAAACATAAACCACGAGTACATAAACTCGTACATTAGCCATTAGTATTACCGAATAATTATTGTTATTGCAAATACTTCATGAAGGACAGAATGATAACAATATTATAGAGTGTAATGGCATTCATTTTAATCATATGAAGTTGAATTATATGCACCGAATCTGCCATAAAACAGACCAATGTTATGGCAAAGTTATGATAAGTGGCAGTTTCCGTACAATATCGTACTAATTACTGTCAACATGCAATGTGTTTGCTGCACGATCAGATCTCATAAAATGCAACTTTACTCACATGTTATTAAACCATATCACAAAGATTCAATTATCATAACATCGTTTTTTGACATTTGTGCGTTTTCCAGATTCGGTATTCTATCTAAAACGCCTGACTACACAGCAACCGTATATCTTTTGACAGTATTTAGTTCGATTTTGTATGAAAACATCTATATAACATGGTTTTGGTCAATTCATTGGTCTATTTTACGGCAGAATCGGCCCCATGATTAGTGATATGATATTTGTGGAAAACATATTCACCACAAATGTAACAAAAACTTTCTAGATGCACACAACGTCTTAGAGTCGAATCTATACCGACTCTTTTAATTTAAAACGGCAAATAAAACTCTTAATTTTTTGTTAAACTGCAAAAATCATAGCCGGAATAACCTATGAGTGTTGTTCCCTAAAACTCTAAAACTGGAGTTTTTAAGGAAAACGGAATATATATTTAAAATCAGCGTGCAATTCTAAATAGATTTAAAAAAAAAGTTTCAAGAAACAATTAAAAGTTCTATTTTTGTTACACCGTGCTATCGATAAAGTACTATACTTTGTAAGAGTAATTTTTTTTGTGCAAATTTCGGCGACGCGGCGCTTACTTGCTTTGACATTTCGTCTCTATGCAGTTAAAGCAGTACGATCGCTTTTAAAAAAAAGTTCAGAATTTTCAAACTATGCCAAAATAAAGAAAACTTTTTTTTCTACAATTTTTTTTTTCAAAAAAGGTAATTTTTTGTCGAATTTATCGTTTCTCAAAAATCTAATTTTTTCGAAGTAAATTTTTTTCAAAAATGTTAATCGTTTTTAAAAAAATAATAATTTTTGGTACGAGAAGTACCAGCAATTTGCTCGAAGCACAATGTCATGCAGCACTAGTTTTGAAAAAATATGAAATTCTCACCTCCAACAAACCCCATCCAGTTATTGTAGCAACTGCGCCAACAGGCATATCGTGGCCACCTTCTGTTAACCTGACTTTCCTCCTTGACCTGCCGTCAAGTCTGAATGGTTGACGCACTCTCATCACGGCTACGTCCAAGTCAAAAATTTCCGATACGTTATATTGGGGATGTTTATGTATCTCCACTACATCATGAAGATAGCCGTTGAAATCTCTCAGGGATGATCCAGAACGAATTTGGTATTGTGTGTGGCTAGATGATAAAAATGGATTCTGATAAGTGTCCATTAAGAATTTCCAAAGGCCAAATTATATTGAATTATACGTAAATACGTAAAAAAATTTGATTGGTATTCCCACAATTGAATAATAGTGATTTCTATTCAACAAATAGAATCTAAATATAGAATAGTAATATCAGCAACTCAACTCTGAAAAAATGTTTAAAATTTTTTTCTACAGATGCATACTGCCATAGTGTAACATATGAAAATACAATTTCTACTAAAACATTATAATTTTTCATTAAATGAAAATTCTAGGCATTATCTGAATATACTATATAGATATATGTGAGATTTTAGTTGCAAAATATTATCCCCGTTTCAACCAAAAATCATGTAACAATTTTAAAAATATTATATTGTGCGGCCTATTGTTGTTCCAGTAGTTCATTTTCTAATTAATAGTAATTAATTACCTTGTAAACTTTACAGATTGTTCGTTCCATTAAATGTAATTTTATATTGATACCAGATGACCCGACAGATGTTGTCCTGTACTCACATTTAAGTTTTTTAATTATCCTATACTAATATTTTCCGTTCAGTTAAAAATAATAATTATTGTTTTTCGAATTGCTATTTACACCAATGTATGCTTCAAATAAAATGATGATTCTCAATTCCCACAATTAACACTTTAATTATCCTTTAACAAATATTAAAATATGTTCAATAAAATTGTATATTAAAAGTTATACACTGCAATTTATAGAACACATTTATTTCCGATAGCTTTAATTTATTTTAATGCCAAGGGTTATACAATTTTTTAGTAATACCTGTAGATTTGGATGTATAAATGAATGTTTTTTTTTTGTTTATTTGCGACTAAAACATTGATTTTCAAATTTATCACACAAAAAATCATCGACTGCCTTTGTGATTTATGGTCATAAAAAAAAGTACACGTGTTGAAAATTGAAGTCTTTATAATATATTCAGAAAGAATTAATATATAGCATTTGCGGTAAAGGTACACCATAGATTTTTCTACCCAAAATAATTGCTTCAATAATGTTGCCTATAATTTTTATGATTTCTTACCATTTTTAACTGATTTTTAGTAATTTTAATATCTAAATTACATTTTTCTCACTAATAATTCAATATACATTATTACTTAAGTTTATATTTGAAGTGTATTAATTTTTCAAATCCTGTTCGAACAACAAAATTATTTCAGTAAATGGAGAAGAGAAAAGCGTGTGCTCTGTGAATTTTCTTCCGGTGCTTCCATTTACTTGAAATTTTGGAAATAGTCTAATCTTTATCTTGAGTTCAGAAGTGAAAACAATTTGCACTCCCTTTCCATTTTCACTTATTTGCGATTATAACTCTTTTAATTCTGATTTTATCAGAACTTGTAATACACTATTTTAAAGGTTATTAAATGAGCTATAACTTTCTCTATCATGAATTTTACCGTAACTTCTTTTAAATTTTATCATAACTCTATCAATATTTGTGTAACAGAAAAATAATAAAGAGCAATAATTAGTCAGAAAACGACCTTGAATTTTCATCCATTTACTTTTATACTTATCTTTTATTTTTTCAAAGATATAATAATGAGAAATTGTTTTTCTTTAAATAGATTTTTTTTTCATAAAAATTTTTAAAAATCGTTTGTACTAAACTAAAGTTGTGGTATTTTCTAGAATCTATCAAAATCTCTTGAACCAAGTTTATTCTAGATGGAATACGATAACTTTTAATTTTGGTGGAAATGGCACTCATAAACTATTTGATTTAAATGAAACATTGTATATTTCTTTTATTTGCACTTTAGCTCACTCATTTTACACGCAGAAGTACTGAAGTTTATTTTGACCCCATTTTTATTTTGAAAAAAGTAAAATTTCACCACTGAGAAAAAATGTCATCCCCCCGGAAAGTGGCAAAAGGGTCTAAATTATTTTTTATACTTGAGAGCATGATGAACCTAATTCCAAAATTTGATGCAAATTGGAGCACAGTAATAATATTCAGATCCAAAAACGTTAATTGACTTAAGTAAATATTCCGTATCCAATGCCAAACATATGAATTTTTGACACAATGAAACTTCTAAATAATTTTTTGAATAAATAAATAATTTTTGTATTGTGATTCAGTGAATTAAGGCAAAACACGACTGCTTTAGTAAAAAATAATAATCTATCAAATTAATTATAACTTTCACTGGCAGTCTACAGCCGTCATCAGGCACATGCGGCCAAATATATAATGTATCTTACATTATTTTAATTTTTGGACATATCAGCTGCTTATCGGCAATAATGATGTAGACATTACATTTTTCTTATTCATAATCATAAATATATTAAATTTTAATATTGCGAATGGAAATGTTTGGAAAGTGACATTCTTCGTTTGTTTTTAATGTCAAACAATGCCCTAAATATTTTCAATGCCAATCAATGATAAGCGGTTTTTTGTAATTTCTTCCATTTATTTCTACCATCTAACTATATTCCTATGAATCAAAAAATCTTAAAAAAAATCCCTTAAAAAACTTCAGGAAAATTCATGAAAATCCGAATAATAGTTTAGGAGGATTGACCTTTCATAACCCATTACAGAAGAATTTTATATATAAGATTTATCTTTACCTTTATTATGTTAATTTTGTTATTTTCTTGTCTTATATGTAAGTCAATTGTAGAAGAAAGCAAGTTGATTTTATTTTGCACAATCGTTTACTTCATATATCATAATATCTCGGATGCGTTGAGTAAGTGCATATATTTTAATTTATTATTAAAATATTGTTAACTAGTTAGTTAACTCTTTAGACTATTTCGAGTAGAAGTTCATAGATCTAAATGCATCAAATTACTTATCACAAGCGGATTGCGATCATTATCCGTACTACGAAAAAAAAACAAAATTAAATTTTTTTTTTTAATTTTTGTTTCTTGGATTTCGAAACAATTTTTAAACTTTTGAAAAAGTGACCTGTGAACATCCAAAAAAATTGGCAACCTTTCTAAAAAGTGGTGAAAAAATAAAGTTAAATATGATAAATCTTTAAAGCTTGGAACAATCGGCTGTGTCAGAATTTCTAAATTTAAACATCAAATTTTTGAATTTTGCTAAATCTTAATTTGGATTTTTTACACATATCGCGAATTTTTTGGTTTAAGGCGAAATTACGTCATAAACATCACTTTATAAGTGATGTCCTTCGAGAGCGAGTTCTAATCGCAATTTACCGATTATATTATTCATCTTTTGTGATAATTGTTTATAATTATTTTAATATGTTATACTTACTCAAACAAAACGCAGTGAGCTGCTGTGAGAATCCAAAAATTATCCAAAATTGCTCCACCGCACAAATGTTCCCGTTGCACTTGAACTGATATCTGATATCCATATTTTGTTATTTGAGTTTTGTTTCCTCCTACAATGCGTCCATCTAAAAAAAAATATAAAAATAATAATAATTGTATTTATTACAATTATTAACTTCCCGTAGGGCAAGTTATAGTAATCGCAAAAAAATCGAAAATGAAAATTTTTATATATCTTTACGTTTCAAAGGTTTCTGAACATTTTGGCATACCTTAGAAAAAATGGATGTATGTGTGTGTGTGTGTGTGTGTGTGTGTGTATGTATGTATGTATGTATGTATGTATGTATGTATGTATGTATGTGCGTGTGTGTATTTATGTGCGGATACAAATTTTCGTCGACGATTTCGGGAACACGGATCAACCGATTTGAATAATTCAAAAAACATTCGATTCGTATTGATAAGGAGACGTGCTGATTAGTTTTTGGCGAAGGCAGGTCTAGCCGTTCCGAAGATACGGGGCAAAAAGTGCCGAAAACGGTAACTCAGTTTTTAAGAGAACGGAGCGTCCGATTTGAATAATTCAAAAAACATTTCACTTGTATTGACAAGGTGAAGAATCGATAAAATTTTCATGAAGGTAGGTCTAGCGGTTTCGGAGATATGGAGGAAAAAGTAAAAAAATGAGCCATTTGGCGGTCAAAAATGATCATTAGACATATGCACATCAAATTATCAGATATTTTATAGAGATTTTAACAATAAGTATACATTTTGTTAACATTTCTATGGGTTCCGTACCAATGCTTATGCGTTAGACAGCGACGCGGCGCTTACGCGCTTTATATTTTGTCCCTATGCAGTTAAAGCAGTACGATTGCTTTCAAAAAATTTCAGATCTTCTACAATATGTCAAAATACAGAAAAAAAATTTTTTTTCAAAAAAAAAATGTTTTTTTAAAAAAAAATTTTTTTTTTCAAAGAAAAGTTCTTTTTTGTCCAATTTATAGTTTCTCAAAAATCTTATTCTTTCAAAGTAATTTTTTTTCAAAAATGTTAATTGTTTTTAAAAAAATAATAATTTTTGGTACGGGAAGTTCCAGCAAAAACGTTATTAGCAAATCAGTCAGCAATAAAATAAGCAAATCAAACTAATTTTTTACAATCTATGCTTATTATTTTTAACAAAACACAGAGGAAATGAATTTAAAAAAAATCATGTTTTAAATGTTTATTATGAAGTTGTTATTTTATGATTTTTTCAGAAAAGTTGCAGATTACCTGCGTCTTGATTTTTTCAAATAAAACCAAAAACTTTTAATTACATATACGTTATACCTTAACTAAATTCATAAATTTCATTTAATATCGCGCATTTAAAATTAATGGTTTAAATTGTATATAAAGTTCATTATTTTTGTACCTAACCAATAGTTTTTCATTTTAATAACTATTTTCAGAGAAATAGTTAATACCGCGATTTAAAACATTTTTGTCGTAATTCGACCTAACCACTTCACAGCAATCAGAAATACATAAGGATTCCTATAAGCTAAATTGACAATATTTGAGAGCGATGTCTAAGAAGAACTCCAGTGAGATCTTCTTAGTTTAACAATTAATAAGATAATGTTATATTGAAGCTAATCTAAGACTAAATCATTATTAATAAAAATATGTCAATACTGTTTTACGAAATTTGAAGTAAACTGACTAAAACTGCCAGAAGTTGACTCAGAATTTTATTTTTGACACAAAACTCGTAAGATAGAGCAGGGCTTAAAGATCCGCGAATAAAAAGTCTCACCACCGATATTTTAAAACCCAGATAAGTTAAGAATTTTTTAACAACAATATTTGAAAATAGAAAGAAAAAGATGTACAATTAGCTATAACTTTGATTCCTACGACGTCGCTGTCAGAATATAAACATTAATAATCTTTCATTGTTAGTTTTCAGTTTTAGTTTTCTGTTGTTTAGTTTGCAAAACCTTAATAATTTTCAAGTATACGTTATTTAATTGTTTTATGAGATATATTGGTAGTTTAACCCTTTCTACTAGGATGCCGCCAAATCAGCAAAATAAATACTAAACGAAAGGGATAAGTTAAATTCAACAGTTTTTATATAACCTCGATAAAATCTGGGCTGGGTAAAAACATACATCTAAACCTTTATCCTGGTAAAGGCGAAAACAATAAAAAGTAGTAAATAAAAAAGTAAATTGGGTTGAAAAAAAAACAATTCGATTTTTTTAGATAGATTAAATTCATAGTTATTCCAACTCTGCTAATAAATATTTGTGACAAAATTACTGATTAAGGTTATTTACTTACCATGTTACTTCTGTAAAAAAATGCATTCATAAAATTTATAATTTGCATTGGTTGAATAACGTAGCTATTATTTTGTAAATCTCCTAAAAATCAAAGTAAGACAAAGACATTAAACCTGTTTGTAATGCTAATTTACCCCGCCTATAGAGTTAAATAGACCAGGTTAAAAAGAATTAAATTAACTGAAAATTTTACTGAACATAGTCAGATAGTTGCTTGGTTTGTATGTGTTATTTATAATTTGTAATATAATTGGTTTGGTTTTCACAATATAATTGTTCGAAGTCAAATTAAACTTTTGTGCCCCACCCTACCCTATGTATTAAAGTTGCCAATATATGTACATTACAATGTAATGATTACATTACATTTCATTAATTTTATTGTAATTATTTAATTCAATTATTTTTATTTTATTTTTTTTGCCAGCAAAAATGTCTTAATAAATAAGGATCTACTGCTAGACTTAATTCAATTGAAGCGGATACGATATAACCATAATTGATAAACATAAAGTGCATCAGATCAAAAATAAAGTCAGTAATGTATTATCATTAAATATTAAAAGCAGCATAGCAAACGGTGAAATAAATAATAATTGGACTATTTCCCTAATTTCATTATCCGTGATTTTGATTTTTCGTAAATATATCGAAATTGAGCATCCCTCATTTCCCTTGTATTTTTCCAGCCTTACTGATGGGAGGAATGCGTAGTCCCCGCCGTGTTTGAGTTATCTTGAGAATACTGAGAAGAAATAGAAGTGCGTTGATTTCTTGATTCTGACTCGACTTGAGATGTTTTTAACGTCTGCTTTTGATTTCCATTGAAACAATCGTTTACCAAAGCACCGAGAAATTCAGGGCATATTGTTCGCTAACTTTTCTTTCTTTGCTGATGAGTTATTCCGAATTGTTTTTTTTTAAACTCCACTTTCGAGTTTAATTAATTTGGTGAAAAGAAATTTTTAATTCTGTTAAAATTATTCTTTGAAGAAGAAAAAGTATTTTATTATTTCAGAAATAATAATTACTAGGATAAACGACGCTCAAATAATATTTTAAGTAAAATGTAATACTACATTATATTCACATAGTTTATGCACATTTGATGGTTTTTATCTCTTTGTTTTTTCATTTGTTTGACCAGTAATCAAAACTGCGTGCCCTTTTAGAAGGCAACCCAACGGCTAATCAATCTCTATTTAATATGTTTAATGTTAGATTATCTCTTGTAGGTATTTGTGATTTGTAATTTGATGCAGCAATACAGAGAAAAAACAGCAAATTTAAAAACATATTTCCAACTTTAGTGAAAACCAGTGACATGATTGCTTGACATCAGGCTGTCCGAGGAACCGGACCTAGGACTCTTTGGTTGTATGATGGAAACTCTTCAGCTACGGAAAGCCCAATGTTTGTTTTTGTAACTATAATCATTTAATTTAGCTAAATTTTAAAACTCTATGTCGCGATTGGCTAATTTGATCTAATTGATGTGGAAAATTCACAATTCTCCTACTTCATCAAAGATGAGTTTCCGCAAATTTAGTCAAAAAAATTTAAATATTAAATATCTCACAGATCAAGTTACAAACATTACTATATGATATAAGTTTCGCGATAGACATTAAATTGATAGCATATTTTTGATCAATTAATTTATGTGCATTATTACTTCAAATTATTAAAACTGACAAATCTGAATAGTTTAACAATGAAATTTATTACTATAATTTTCATTCATTATAAAAAATAACATCTATAATTCTTAAATATGCATATATAAATATCGTTCTGAAAGGTCTCGCTAAAATATGATTCCGCGTTCATGCAAAAAACACCAAGACCCTTTTCTTTAGTAAAATCTCGTTTTTCTTATAAGAATTTCGTTATGGTCAGTTTCAATTAGTTACCCGTCTGTCAGGTCAGAATATTAGATTCATTTCACTTTGTTAACAGGAAATGAAATGTGTGAGAAACATTTTTTTAGCTTTGTTTATAATTTTTATCATAAAAAGCAGGAAATTGATTTTTTTGAAAATCTAATCCAAAAGTGTAATACTTTCGTTAGTTTTTTTGTTGTGAGCACTGTTGTTTAATTTACGAAACCTTAGAATAAATTTTAAGGATATGATATGTAATTGTTTTATACGATGTATTATTAATTTTAAGATAGATTCAATTATTTTTTCTTATATAACCTCTATACAAGCTTACACCTGGGTGAGGTAAAAGGAACCTACTAAACCTTTACTCTGGCAAAGGCGCAAAAAATAAAAAATAGTAAATAAACAAGTAAGTTAAGTTGAAGCAATTTTACAAAAGATGAATTAAATAACTTGTTATTCCAACTCTGCTTATAAATATTTCTAACGAAATACTAGATCAAGGTCGTTGACAGTGTTAACTCTGTAAAAAATGCATCCATGAAATTTAGATTTGGCATTGGTCGAATAATTAACTTCCCGTGGGGTAAGTTATACTAATCGCAAATAAATCGAAGATGAAATTTTTTATAAATCTTTACGCTTTAAAGGTTTCTGATTGTTTTGGCATACCTTAGGAAAAATGGACGTACGTGTGTATGTTTGTGCGTGCATGTGTGTGTATGTATGTGCGGATACAGCTTTTCGTCAACGATTTAGAGAACACGGATCAACAAATTTTAATGTTTCAATAAACATTCGATTCCTATTGATAAGAAGACGTGCTAATTAGTTTTTGGCAAAGACAGGTTCAGCCGCTCCGAAGGTACGGGATAAAAAGTGCCAAAAATGGTAATTCAATTTTTAAAAGAACGGAGCGTCATAAAACATTTCATTTGTATTGATGAAATGAAAAGCTAATGAAATTTTTGGAAAGGCAGGTCTAGCGGTTTCGGAGATACAATAAAAACAGTAAAAAACGCCATTTGGCGGACAAAAATGATCATTAGACATATGCACATCAAATTATCAGATATTTTATAGAGATTTTAACAACAAGAATAAATTTTGTTTACATTCCTATGGGTTCCGTACCAATGTTTATCCGTTAGACAGCGACGCGGCGCTTACGCGCTTTATATTTTGTCTCTAAGCAGTTAAAGCAGTACGATTGCTTTGAAAAAAAGTTCAAATCTTCCAAAATATGTCAAAATGAAGAAAACATTTTTGTTTCAAAAAAAAGAAATTTGTTGTGCAATTTATAGTTTCTCAAAAATCTTATTTTTAATTTAAAATGTTAATCGTTTTTAAAAAAAATAATAATTTCTGGTACGGGAAGTAGCAGCAATTTGCCTCAAGGCACGATGCCTTAATTGCCTTGAGACAGAATTCCACTTACAGCTAGTTTTACGTATGTTATTACCAATTACGGATGCAGCATTAATGACCATTGGCCAAAAACAAGCAAAAATAAGTAGGCACTTCATGGTTATACAAGGACTTTCAGAATGAATTGGCACGCGAATGTGCCTCTGTTTATATCGATAATCTCATAATTACAAAAAAATCTGTATCGGTAGATAATCGTTTGCTATTAAATTCGAGTGTCGGTGTACAAGATTCATGACAGATTTGTCATTTATGCCCTATTTTACTGATAAATTGATCTATTGTTTTGTGGATTTTCTCATATGGTTTGTTGAACATGAGGCAATTTTAAAAGTTGTTTTATCAATTCTTATTGATTAAGGAGATGATTTATATATATAGACAATTATAGACAATATATTAAGACAAAATGCCATTTACATCTAGTTAAATTATGGTTTATATTATGGATTTAACATCCAAATTTTGAAATAATAATGCGACGTTTTCTTGCTCTTGGATTCGTAATTTGGATATAAGTACTGAAAATAAAACTAGTTGGTCTTGGTATTTTGCCATGAGGCAAGTTACATGCACTTCCCGATATTTGTAACTAATCGACCTAATCAATAAAAAATAAATTAAAAATATGTAAGTGATTAAAAGTATTCCGAGTGGATTTATTACACATAATAAAAACTACCGAACGCGTTAACTCGGAGTATTTTCAAAAAGCAAATTTTTAAAAATCAATCATTTTTATAATTGAACTAGTTTTCGTAGGACTTTAATGGTTTAGTATGTTCATTAAGACCAAGTTCACTATCGATGTACCAAATAAATCGTCTAATTTTAATTTTAACAAACGTCAAAAAACTACTCATTTTCTCATCCTTTGATGAATTTTAAAAATTTAACTATTTGCCGTAAGGCTGTAATATTCGTCAGTCAGTTCTATAAGACCATGATATATATCCAAAGACCAAAAAAGTTGCATAAAAATGGAATGGATCGACTTAAATTTATTTTCAACAATTAATTACAATAAAATGGTTCGGTAGATTTTCACCTAAAACTAATCAGTATCATTCCCAACTAATATCTTTCGAACAGTTATTAATTTTTTGAAATCGATTCGGTAGTATGAACTGAAATGTAGACGGAAAGTATAACACTTTTTTCTAAAATACAAAGAAACTGCTCTGCAGATCGTCGCACAAACCTGATAAACAATAGTCCTTATTGAGCTACATCAATTGGCTTTTAAATTTCTGAAATCGGTTCAGGCGTTTTAGAGAAAACGTCGATGAAAAGTCTAATTTTGACAAATGCCAAAAAACGATACTATTTTTTGCAAAATTTGACGAATTTTTTAAATTAAACGACTTGTCGTAGGGCCGTAATATTTTAGTATGATCTATATTATAGATACCATAGTCTTATAGATTCTATAAGACTATGATATCTACCGCCAAAATAAAAATTATAAAAATCGTTGAAAAAAATTTTTTAACACTTTATTACAAGAAAACGGCTCGGTCAATCTTTATGAAAACTAATCAGGTTGATTTCCAACCAATATCTTTTGAACGGTTTCTCCTTCGGGAAGTTAATACAAAAATATTATATCTAATTTTAAATAATTGGCTCTCACTAGATTAAGATAAGTGAATAAATCGTTAAACTTTTCTAAGAAATGTTGAAGTACTCAATTTTTTTAAGTACTTAAGTGGCTGGTGGCACAAATATTATGAAAGTATAATTTCACAAAAAATTGCATTTTCCTTATGATAAATTTAATTTTTGAATTACACATAAAAAGTAACTTTTCCGGAACCATATTTTGAGTTGCAATAGTATTTATTTCTGAAGCGGCAAGATGCAAAAACTTTTCTTTATGTGTAAACAACCGAATTATTCAATAATAATTGCTATTTTGCAACTTTGAAAAGTGTGTAGTAATGGTTTCTAAATATTGTTACAGGCTGCTTTTGAGGCTGCTCTCAAACGATTCAGAATGGTTTGCAACTTCTAAAATAGCAAGTTGTATTTTCTAGAGAAAACATAAACTTATTCTTTGGGAAGTTAATTATAAATAAATTCTAGATGATTTTATAAAATAGTCTAATATCTACTCATAAATTTCATAATATGATATAATGTGATATAATATGATATAAAGTAAAATAATGCAATGAAATATTGACAAATTTAAAGTAATGGCTATTATGTTTGCTAGTAGGAAATAAATTAATTATATGCAAAATGGAAAATTTATATCAGTAACAATAGTGTGATTGACGTATATAAGTGTCAAGTTATCGTAATGATTGTCCAAGCTTTTTTCCCAATCTATTCGATAAACAAAAAAACACAAAAACTTATGACTAACGACAAATACCTAAGGATGATAACACCTCTAAAGTTTAAACGATAAAGTACTTCAGAAATCTAACTGGTTTTCTCCATTTGCAATATCATTACTTATTTATATTTTGAATTATATGAAATCATCGTGATTTTCACAAAAAGATAATTTTTTGAGATGATAAAATTCTTCATAGACATGATTAGAAATTTTTATCTACAATCGCTAAAAACTCATGATAACTATAAATAATTTTATGAAAAAATAAATAACTAGGTCTACGTCATGTCTACGTGGTCTTTAGGCAAGTTGCAAAATTTTCCCGACATGTGTAAATAATCGACATAATTACGAACTGAGGTTTAGCAATTTTTAACTTCCCGAAGGAAAAATTTATGTTTTCATCAAAATATCCGATTCGCTAATTTTATGTTTTCTCGGCGTTTCAAGCCATTTTGAATCGAATAAAACCAAATTTGGAAAAAGTATGTGTGTGTGTGAACAGATTTTTTGCCGAAAATCAACGTTTTCAAAAATTTAAAAGTCCTTCTATGTATCGCGATGACTAACGTTTATCAATTTTGCGCGACGATCAGCCAAGCCGTTTCTTTGTAAGTAGCAGAAAAGTGAAAACATTTTCGTCAACGTTTTAGCCCGCAGTTATGAATCGATTATGAAAATTCAAAAACCGTTCAAAAGATATTGGTTGGGAATTGTGCTGATGAGTTTTGGTAGAGATCGGCCGGGCCGTTGAAAAAATGAGTGAAAACTTTTAATCACTCATAAATTAATTAATTTTTTATTGATTAAGACACATATCGTGAAGTTTATGTAACTTGCCTCAAGGCAAAATACCAATACCAACTAGTTAAAAATTATTTAATTATTATAGAGCACTCAAAATAATAAAATTCAGAGAACTTATAAGAAACATTAAAATATTGATAATAACCTGACAACAACAAATATCTTTGATATCAAAACGCCTTTTTACGCTATTTCATTTACTTTTCAAAAAACTATACACTGAGATATTGTAAAAACGAATAGAAATATCAAATTACTCAGATAGGTCAATCGGTTCACACAGCCTCAATTCTGTACTATTTCCTAGTATGCCAAATCGATCAGGACGACTTTCAGCATAATGTCAAAATTATTATGGTTTATTTATATTTCAATTTGAATTGAGCCTACATTTTTTGTATTATTAAATTTAAAATGTTTATAAATAATATAATGTTTTCCTACTGAAAACAATCATATAAATCCAAAATAAATATCAAGTTTATATAGTCATTCTATATCGTTTGAGAAGAAAATTGGCAGGAACATACATATTTAAGATCAAATCTAATTTTCATGGTTTGAATGACCAATATTTATTCCATTATTACATGGATACCATTTATCCTAGATTAAAGAAATAATCATCCGTTTAAAGAGCTTACCTTGAAATATATTAATATATTTTACATTTAAAGTTATACGAAGCATTTTTAAAACAAATTTGTATAATCTAACCCGGCAAATGTTGTTTTGCTAAGTAAGGTATTTTTAGACAATTCCTAGAGAATAAAAAAAAGAATACTTTATTTTAGGAGTATAAGAATGTGCTGTTTGAATGACACAAACAATGAGGTATTATAAACACAATAAACCCCAAAGTCTACTTGTATAATCATTTATTATATAATTTATAATAACAATATTCGTTTGCTCATATTTTGTTAATACAATCAAACTGGAAGGTTTATACACTTTCTATAAAAATATGGTATAATTCAATCCAAGTCTTCTTTAGTCTTTAGCCATGGTCAATGTTCAGTTGGTCATTTCTGCCCTACACAAATGTGAGTTTTGAAACAATTAAATAGCGTATTGTTAAAATTTATATTAAGGTCCCGTGAAGTAAATCACAGTGCTCACAACCCAAAAAAGTAACAGCAAAAGGAAATACTTTCGTTATGGATTTTCAAAGATTACCGATTAACTCCCGATAGCAAAGCCATAAGAATCAAGATTATAGCTGGTTATACATCTTTTCCTCTCTACTTTCAAATATTGTTGTTGAATGATGCTTATCTTTACTGGTTTTTGAGATATTGGTGGTGGCCTTATTAATCCCTGATCTTTATATATTACTATTCATTCTTCAATAAATTTATAGAAAATTTTTCCAGTTTATTCTTCAAAATTAGTGGTAAATAACCATTAGTAAATTATATTTTACATTGCATTATCCAATGATTGCTAAAGTTTTTCATCTTTTTCAATTTATAGAGTGATTTAATGAAACATAAACGATACCTGACTGAACGGAAGGATCGCATTAAATTGAATGCGAGCATTATAATCAATTTTCAAAATATTTTGTTCCAAAGAACTTGTAATTTTGTGCATTGACATTTTTACACGTGTGTGATTTGATTCTTATGACTTGATTCTTATGACTTAAGTTATATTATCAACCGAATTTTCTTATTTAAGTTGTTGTCTGTTATACCTCGGAATAAGTTATTCGACAAAATGTCCCCTTTGATCAATTCCAAATTTAGGTTTTAAAATAATAATATATAATCTAGAAAATATTTTATAAATACTATTTAATATAAAATTAAGTAAATGTCAAACCATTTGGCATATGAGTAGGCGGATTCATTTGTCATATGAATAATGTTGTGCAGGAAGCCATTTCAAATCAACTTCTGTTTACCAAATATCTTCAAATTAAAAATGTAAAGTTTCTACGCGATTTTGAAATAATATCTCACCTTTTGGACAATCTCTGGATTGACACGAATTTTTCAAGACTAAGACTGGCCAAATCGGTTTAGCCGTTTTCGAGTTTTAGCGAATCATTTTATTGAGAGCTCCATTTTTATATATAAGATATATATATATATATATATATATATATATATACTAAAATTGTTTAAAATTTTTTTCGAAGCACTTGATACCTTGGGAGCGCAAATATAGTAGTAGGATCTATAGAACCTGCAAAAAGATAATAAAAGATGCTATTTTGCGTTGTATATTTTAAATAACTGTCAAATATTCAAAAATGTGAATAATACTATCATAAATTGATTATTAGTGATATTTATTTGAGTAGTAATATGGTTTAATTTGTTAGTTGAGTATCAAAATTTTGTAAAACATCTCGTCTTAGTATATCATTGAAATTAAGGAATATCAAAAAATATTTGTAATATTATAAGTTAAAACTCTTATATTCCAGTGTGCATTTTGATAAATTCTCTTATTGGTTTTGAAGCCACTCGGGTATATACTCCTGGGATTTCGGGTCGTGCACATCCTATTCCCCAAGACACTATTCCATGCAGAACTCCCTTAGAGTTGACGAGTGGGCCACCGCTATCTCCTTGGCAAGAGTCCTTACCGCCTTCAGGATAACCAGCACAAATCATACTGCGATATCAAATAATAATTTTGAATATACAAAAAATGTTAATTAAAAGAATATAAAAATTGAAATAAGGAGAATACAGTTAAGAAGCTACTAGGCACTAAAACACAAATTGTAAATTTTCGAAGAAGCAATTCCAAACATTTGTTAGGGTTTTATCATAGAGGACTGATAACAATTATATTTCCACGTGTACGTAAAATTAAAAAGTCATAAAAATATATCAAGAAAATAGTGTCAGAAACTGAACAATTTTATGCGAATATACTACTGTCGTTGAAAAATTTTATAACTCTTGAACAAAAGCTATAAACAAAATTAATGGCCAAAAATTAGACTCAAAACCCGTTATCAGAAAGTCAACAATTTAAACTAATAAAAGAAAAATTAAAGATAATAATAGCCGCGTTTTAAGTTAATGTTAGGGATATAAGAAACTGTTTATCTATTTCTTACTCTATATTTGTTTTAAAAAAAATCATTAATATGTTTGCATATATCATAATTTATTAGGTATTGATATAATTTGAAGATTTCTGTGCTTTACACAAACCTATTATACACAAAGTAGAGCGGGACTTAAAGGTCCGGGGGTAAAAAGGTCTACTACTAATATCTCAAAAACGTTAAGAATTTTTAAACAATATTTGAAAGTAGAGGGAAGAAAATGTGTAACCAGCCATCACTTTGATTCTTACGACGTCGCTATCGGGTGATAAACAGCAATGCTTGAAAATCCAGAACAAAAGTATTTTATTTCATTGTCAGTTATTTTTGTTGTTAGAAGTATGATTTAATTTATGAGGTTTTAATATAATTTATAAGTATACGCTGTTTATCAATTTTGTAAGATGAGTTGTTAATTTTAAGCTATATTCAACCGATATTTTTATAACTTTTATAAAATCTTACACTTGGGTGGGCTAAAAAGAACCAACTGAATCTTTGTCCTAATAAGGATGTAAAAATTAAAAAAAGCATATAAGAAAGTAAATTGAGTTAAATAAAGCAATTTTACAAAAAATAAATTAAATAAATAGTAATTTCAACTCTGTTGATGAATATTTCTGACAAAATACCAGATCAAGGTTATTTATCTTTATAAAGTGTTATCTTTATAAAAAAATGCACCCATGAAATTTATATTTTGCATTGGTTGAAAGTTGTGGCTATTATTTTGTTAAATCCCTTTAAAATTGAAATAAGATATTGGTCCTGTTTGCCTGCTGGTCGTTACAATTTACCCCGTCTATTGGGTAAAAAAGACTAGGTTACAAATTTTTGAAAAACAGCAAAATAAACATTTTGACAATGATGAAGTAGCTGGGAATTTTACTAAATATAGTCAGATAAATGTTTGTTTGATATGTGTTATTTGTTGTGATATAATTGGTTTGGTTTTCAAAATATAATTGCTCAAAGTCAAATTGGACCTTTATGCAATACAAATTTGTACAGAAAAAATACGCCACGTATTTTTCATATTTTGATCTACGAACAAACCGGAACGCGATTTCAAATACATATATTTATTACTTTATTTACATGCATTTTTTTCCAAAATAAATATCTTTTGAAATTGACTCACATATTTTCAATACTTGCTAATTTCTAGATTATAATTGTTTTTGTATTTTAAATATCATAAATAATAATTATCGAAAAAAGTTTTGTACCAACCTTTTTGTACAAAACTCCTTTGTACTGATTTAACCTAATATAAAAATCCTGTTTATTACTTACTTTTGGGTAATTATTAGTCCTTCATTTCCATATATAGTTTTGCACTGAGTCCAGTTAACAATAGGTACCTTTACATATTGCAGTTGTTCGGGGTCGTCTTCATCTTCCTGAAATAGGGCATATTTTTTATAACGTACGGTTTTATGTGCAAAATACCTGATGGCACAGCATTTAAACAGACATTTTCCACTTTTTTACTACCACGACACAAGCATAACATAGCGTTACCATACGCTAAATTATCGGCTGTGTTACCACAGAATTAGCCACTTAGTTATTTTTAGTTTTAGTGTCGTATATCGAAAGCATTTTTTTTTTTTTAAAATGTTTTCATTTTACCATCGCAATATATATATGATTAGAAAAGTAATAATTTTGTTTAATTATGTTATATCTAGAAAAACAATAGTAAAGATTAAACTTTACAACTTGAACAAGGTTCGGAAAAAATCCTGCATAAATTAATAAAAATACTTGATATCAGAGGAAAGTCCCGTAACGCCGGACGGCACCTAACGCCGGACACTCTATTTAACACGTATTATTTAAGCGAGTATAAATTTTTCCATTTCAAAATACGAATGAAAGGAGCGCGGGAGGCACACAGGTATAGGATCACGCGCCAAGTCTCTTCTGTGACCCATACGGCCACGGCGGGAGCAACCGTTTGCGGTTTTAGGCGCAAAATCATGGCGTCACCTAAATAGCAATTGAAGAAATTCTAATATATTTATGCATTTACATTTGAGTGGCATGCAAAGATAACACTTGTACTTGATTGTTATCCGTAAATTATTAGATATTTTAAACAATTTTAGTAGGTACCACCAAATAAACGAGCATGCCTGTCCCTTAGCACCAAACACTAAGTCGTCCCTTAGCGCCGGACAGTAAACATATTGATATTTTCTGTAAGAATTGACGCAATTTATTCGAATTATTTAATTCTGCTCTGTATGAGTGCTAACGGTCACTACATACTCCCATTTTTCGTATTTCCTTATCAAAGAATGAAAATCTCATGATAAATGCTCCACCTGAGAGCATCGGTTTGGCCCAGCCAAAGGGGTAGATAAATGGTGATTTTTTTGCAATATCTAAAAATATTCATCAAACAGATATGTGCAGACATTCCAAAGTGTGGAGATGGCTACACATGTGCTCAATGCAGGTTATTTTGAAATGTCCGGTACTAGATGCCACTTTTTAGAATCTTGTTTTTTGTTACCCAAGTTTGATTGATAGTATTAATTATTTTTTAGCAAAGGTTGCGTTTTTGTTAATTTAGTTTGATTCTTAGCTTTGTTATCTAACATAAGTCATAATTTAATAAACATTCTGTCAAATATTTTTTTATCTATTCATAAACAACCTTAGGTGTCCGGCATTTGGAAACTTTCCCCTACAGATGATACTGTTGTTTTTGAAAATTCATTAAAATTGTGGCTGTTGTTGATTGGTGGATGTTGAAGAATTCATTGATTGGTTTGCTGCGCAGTCATAACTTTTAAACTACTCGAAAAAAGTATTTAATGGGATATTTAATTGTAATGTTAAAATATAAAGTACAAACCCCTAAATTTCCCCAGCCAGTAACAGTGGCTAATTCTCCTGATGGCATGTCTTTTCCAACATCAGTAAGTTTGACTGTTCTAACAGTTCTGTTATTCAACCGGAATGGTCTTCGAACCTTGATGAGGGCGACATCCATATCGATGTCAGTTACATTACCGTATGCAGGATGCTTGATAATTTGTGCCACAGGATGAACGGAACCACGTCTTCCTTGGAAACTGGTGCCGACTCGAACTGAATACGTGAATTCACTGTAATAAAAATTGGCATTTTTAGTAATTCTGTAATGTTAAATGTGAGGTTACTATGGCTGCTCCAACACAAGATTTAATTCATTTAAGCAGTTGAAATTTAGTGCGAGAAATCGACTGTTGATTTTTAGAAACATATTTTTAACTTTTCATAGAATTGTCTTTATGCTAGATAATTCGATTTGCTAACAATCTTACATTGACACTTCAAGTCGTTTTAAATTGTTTCTTATAAAACTTGTATATAGTAGGGTATATCTGTGGGTAAAATGGTCCATAACTGATATCTCAAAAGCAAGTCGAGTTAGAAGTTCATCAACAACAATATTTGAAATTAAAATTCAAAAGATGTATAACCAGCCATCATTTTATTTTTTACGATAATGCTATCGTGAGATAAAAACCAATATTGAAAAAACCGTAACAAAAGTTTTTTTTTGTTAGTTTTTTGGTTGTGAGCACTGTTGTTTAATTACAATAGGTATTATGTACTTTGTATAATTTTCAAGTATACATTAATTAATTTTTTCATAAGATGTATTGTTAATTTAAGTTAGATTTAACAATTATTTTTATGAAACACCTATAAAAGTTTACATCTGAGTGGAGTAAAAAAGATCAATTTACCTACATCCTAGCAAAGGTGTAAAAAATAAAAAAATAAATTAGGTTGGAACAAGCAATTTTACAAAACATAAATTGAATAAATAGTTATTCCAACTGTGATGATGAATTTTCTTGACGAAATACCTGATCAAGGTTATATACAGTGCAGGCTTTTGGTTTCTTGAGTGTGAGACATTTCTTGTAATTTAACAAAAGTAGTTTGAAAAATATTTAACCTTTTTTGGCAATTTCAAAACTTTTGATATTTAAGAGGTAAAAAACTGCTGAGAATTAGATGTAGATCAAGCCTTTTTTATAATTTTTGCATAAATTTTCAACAATATTTCTAGTAAAATAATGAGATATAGAAATATTATCGTTATCTTATTTATTTCTTATTTATTTAGAAAATGTCAAAATATTAATATATAAATAATTTAAATATTTTGTTCAACTCTTTGGGGACGGCTGTCCACCTGAGTGGACAAATATACTCTATGAGACACATGCTATTTTATAAACAATGACTTAGTTTGCAACGAAACGTTGAATAAATTACATATAGCAGTGATAAACAGTGTTGTATTTTGAGCAGCCCGAGCCAAGGGGGCCCCCAACGAGCTCAAGCAGAAAGCAAAACTACAATTTTTAAAAAAATTTAATAATTTTAACGTAGTTTGCGTTTTTTTTATCGAGAGGTATTCAACCTCAACTTGTAAGCTAATGCTTTAAGCGAATTTATTCTTTACTTCTTTTTCTTTTCTTTTTATCAATTCAATTAGTAAAGCTTTTCCACGTTCGATACGTTAACAAATCTATAAAACTATTTCAAATTATACATTCTTCATCGGAAATTTGAATTTGGAAATTTTATATTCAGACCCGAAATCTTATTTTAAATTATACTATTGCTGTTTGGATATATTAATTTCACAAACCAAACAAAGATTTCAAAACCTTTGCGACGTAAGTAGTAACGTTTGTCTTTTTGAAATCGAGAATTAATAAACATTTCCGGAAAACTGTCGACTGAATTACTGTAAAGAATTATTGTGAAATATCTCATATGATCATGACCAATTGATAGTTCTAGAAATAGGTTTGAATACAGAAATCTAAGAAATTTATTTCATTAAGGTACTAGGCTTGCTTCCAGTTTTCCCAACGAAATAACAGTATGCATTTTTTTGGCCCTTAATTAAATTTACAGTTAAAATCGCAACTGCTAATTTTTTTCTAATTAAAACTTATTAAAAATTACGTAAATTCTTTAGGACGTAAAGGTCTACCAGACCTGTATGTTCCTAGAGACAGAAACTTTATAAAATTCAAATATCACTAAATAAGTCCGTTTTTCAAAAAAAAAATTTAAGAAAGGAGAAATATATATGGAATCATTTATGAAAAAATCAGAAAATTAAAGAAAATTAAGTAGATAAATAATTACAATGATAAATAAATATTCTTTTATTATTACGTATTTCAATATTTTGTAAAAAAAAAATTTCTTCTTGAAGGGGCCCCCAAATTTTGATACGGGGCTCCGCCAAAGCACGCTACGCCCCTGATTTTGAAAATAATTTTAAGTTATTTTAGTAGTATTTTTAGCCTTTTTCTTTAATATAGATCTTTTTTTAATATTTAAAACGACCGAGCAACCAGCACACAGAAGAAGTTCGACAAATTAAATAAAGAGCGGAAAGACATTAGCGAATGTGCCGATTCTTCTTCAATAGTAGAGTTTTACATTTATCAACAAACACCCCGACTACAAATACCAAGCAATGACATCCGATAGATTACTTTACTTTATATTTTTTTACAAATGAATTATTAGACAATATAATAGAAAAAAACAAACCATTATGGCAACAAAAAATGAACAAATATACTGACTAATCAGTGGCATATTCTAAATGCGATAGAAAGAAAAAGGAATTGTACTGTCTGTTCTCACAGAAAAGCACTAGGAGGCAGGCGGCGAACAACATTTTATTGTAAAACATGTCAAAATCAACTAGTTATGCATTTTGAAAATTCTTTTAAACGACACCATTCTTTATAAAATGATCAAAAATAATTTGATATTATAAAAATATGCCCTTCAATACCCATAAATTTTTATCAAACAATTAGCATAACATACACAATGAAATCAAGTTTACAGCCCATACAGTAGATCTAGATTGGTTTGAAATCGGTACCGTTCTGTAAGTGTTAAAAAGTATCGTTTGCAAATTGTTCTTAATAATTTTTGTTTGTAGAGTTCTAATTGGCCAAAAAATCTTTAAAATTGTAAATTATATTTTGCTGATCATATCGATAATTTTCAGAAATCTTGCATATAATATTGCATTACATCAACTCGTCTCAAAGCAAAGGACCAACAACATTCAAACTTTTAATTAAAAAAAATATTTTGAAATATGTTTTAAACTTTTAATTAACCTAAATTCAATTTATTCAATAAAATATTAAAATTCAAAGATTTGATATTGATTGAAAATAAATATTTTCAAGAAGGAGTATTTCAAACTATCATCAAAGTTTCGTTTATAAAAAATATAAGGCACATCATTTTTCATGAAATTGATAAATTTCATCGCATAAAGCTTATTGCATTATTATAAATAAATGACGTCATATTATGAACATAGGAATAATAGAGATTTATGTGTGCTTATAAAAAAAAGTTTTTGTCACCATTAATTAATAATAGAAATAAGACGATAATACTCTCTACAATTTAGAATTAATTAATCATTGTAAATAATAATTTTATTTGGTAATTTAGTTTGTTTGTTTGTGATAGCGTGAATTGCATTTTATTTGTAAATGAAAAAGTTTTAGCAATTTATCTCCAAAAACAATGCAAAATGTCGCTAGTTATTTTTATTTTTAACACTTACTCATATATGCAATGAGCTGCTGTGACAATCCAATAATTATTCAATATTGAAGCTCCACAGAAATGTTCGTTAAATACTTGGAGTGAAGCTTGATAGCCATATTTGGCAATATCAGCATCTTGTCCTCCAACAATGCGCCCATCTAATCCATCTAAAGAAATTATTAAAATGTGTTTGAAAACCTTTTTTGACAAGAATTTATTTATCGTCTTTAGAGGATATAATAAAGTTCGATTTTTGTAATCTTTGTGCGTTATCTTTATTAAAAGAAAATTAGAAAAATAATTTATTATTAACATACCCTTTATCTTGTAAGATGAGACGGCGCTCAATCCAACGCAAACGAGCACAAATATGAACTTCATGGCTGTAGAAAATGATTCACAAATGGCTAAATATTTGAGCAAATTCATTATTTATAATCAAAATGCGAGTAATTGACATTGTACGTATACTTAGTCTTATCTATGAGATCAAAGATTAAGTACTTTACTGGGGTAGCCCAAAGACCGGCATGTGAAGCTTGTAAAAATATGAATTGAAACTATAATAAAAAATAAATCACGTATTATGATAAGAACCTTATTCAATAATTGATCGATTTAGATTGAATGATGATAATGTTTTTTGCATTCAATTTTTATTTTCCGTGAAATAACTCTTTCCTGTAATTTATATAAATATGCATATAATACGCATGACATGTCTATAGATTTGAATAAATATAAACAATAATTCATGGACGAACTTTTGCAGGAGTAAAATATAACACATTTCTGAAAATAACATCAATATTCTATATTATTTTGGCATTACTAATAAATTTACGTATTCATGAACTTGAACATTATCAAGAAAGAAAATATGTATCATGTATTTTTCATACACTACATTTATCCAGTTAACGAGGTATAGTATATATTAGGGTGGTCCTCAATATGGTTTTTTTGAGTTTTCTAACTTCCAAGGGCTTAAATGCATCCAAAATGATAAAAAAAATTTTGAAAATGTTAGATTTTAATAATAAGTCTTAAGATAGTCCGCACTCCTACCAAAGTCCCCCATTTCCACATTTGGTTCCGGACTAGAAGCAATATTTGTCATACATTTTTATTGTTTGTCCAGAATGTCCCGATTTTTTTTAAAAAGATTCTCTATTTCAAATATTTATTTTAAATATTCTTCAACTAAAATTATTTTTGTAATGTTCGAACCAAAATGTACGCGACTTGTAGATGATACACTAAATGCGATAATGAGAATTTTGCAAATTTTGTTAAGAGCAAAAAACACGCTTGTTCAGAAAAGTACAAAAAATTTTGTACTCAGTAATATATTGTAATTCTGAAAAAAACGGATTCCATTAAATTAATCGATTATTATTATATATTTAAATAGTTTTGTTCGAAAAATCGAATCGAAAATGAAAAATGTTGCATATATCACGTTTTGAACATTTTGTGTGTGTATATATATGTGTGAATACAATTTTTTGTCCTACTAGTGGGGATTAGTGCTGATTAGTTTTTGGAAGGAATCGGTCCAGCCGTTTCCGAGATACGAAGCAAAGTATGCAAAAAGTGAAAACTCGGTTTTTGCGAGAACCGGGCATCCGATTGGAATGATTCAAAAAACATTCAATTCGTAATGATTTGGCGAAGGCAAGTCGAACCATTTTGAAAATACGGAGATAAATGTGCAAACAATGGCTGTTTTTGAGAGAACTAAGCAACCGATTTGAATGATTCAAAAACCTATCTCCTTTTGTCGACGAAACAATTGCTTTTGAGGATTTTTTTATTTTAAAATTAATTTTTGTTTGTATATCGAAAACAATTAGGATTTTAATTTTAATTCTGGCGAAAGTTCTAAAGCTCATTTATATACTATAAATAAACTAGTGGGGTGTATGGCATCGTGCTTTAAGGCAAATTGCTGGAACTCTCCGAACCGTACCAAATGTACTAGGAATATTGAATGTTTTTAAACAGATTATTATAAATATTGAAACATTGTCTAATATTTATAAGAATTACATAAACTGAATTGCAAAGTTGAAATTTTTTTTCCAAAATCAATTATTTTGTTAAAACAAACAAAAAGTTTTTTGTATCATTTAAATCGGACGCTTAGTTCTTTCAAAAACTGCCATTTTTGCACATTTAGCTCTGTATCTTTGAAATGGCTGGGTGTGCCTTTGCCTAAACTGATAACCACTTCTCCCAATCATTACTAATTGAATGTTTTTTAGATCATTCAATTCGGATGCTCCCCCAAAAACTCGATTTCTATTTTCTGCACTCTTTGCTCTTTATCTCCGTAACTGTTGAACCTGCTTTTGCCAAAAACTAATCAGCACATATCCCTATCAATAGAAATCGAATGTTTTTTTAACTTCCCGTAGGGCAAATTATAGTAATCGTAAAAAAATCGAAAATGAAAATTTTTATATATCTTTACGTTTCAAAGGTTTCTGAACATTTTGGCATACCTTAGAAAAAATGGATGTATGTGTGTGTGTGTGTATGTGTGTGTGTATGTATGTGCAGATACAAAATTTTGTCGACGATTTCAGGAACACGGATCAACCGATTTGAATAATTCAAAAAACATTCGATTTGTATTGATAAGGAGACGTGCTGATTAGTTTTTGGCGAAGGCAGGTCTAGCCGTTCCAAAGATACGGGGCAAAAAGTGCCGAAAACGGTAACTTAGTTTTTAAGAGAACGGAGCGTCCGATTTGAATAATTCAAAAAACAATTCACTTGTATTGAAAAGATAAAGAATCGATAAAATTTTCACGAAGGTAGGTCTAGCGGTTTCGGAGATACGGAGGAAAAAGTAAAAAAATGAGCCATTTGGCGGTCAAAAATGATCATTAGACATATGCACATCAAATTATCAGATATTTTATAGAGATTTTAACAATAAGTATACATTTTGTTAACATTCCTATAGGTTCCGTACCAATGCTCATGCGTTAGACAGCGACGCGGCGCTTACGCGCTTTATATTTTGTCCCTATGCAGTTAAAGCAGTACGATTGCTTTGAAAAAAAGTTCAGATCTTCCACAATATGTCAAAATAAAGAAAATTTTTTTTTCAGAAAAAAAACAAAAAAAAAATTTAAAAAAATTTTTTCTTTGTCCAATTTATAGTTTCTCAAAAATCTTTTTTTTTCAAAAATGTTAATCGTTTTTAAAAAAATAATAATTTTCTGTACGGGAAGTTCCAGCAGTTTGCCTTAAGGCACGATGCCTTAATTGCCTTAAGACAGAATTCCACTTACAGCTAGTTAACCATTCAAATCGGTTGATCCGTGCGCCCGAAAACGTGAACAAAAAAATGCGGACACACAAAACACACACACACTCACACACACATACATATACACACATCCATTTTTTTCTGAGGTATGCCAAAATGTTCAGAAACTTCCAAAACGTCGAGAAATGCAAAAATTTTCAATTTCGATTTTTGGACGATTACAGTTTATATAATCCTTATACATATTAGACAATGTTACAGTATTTATAATAATCTATTTTAAAATATTTAATATTCTTCGAATATTTCGTTACGGTACCGGAAGTTCCAGCAATTTGCCTTGAGGCACGATGCCAATCACAACTAGTCTTTATTTGTGTCATTTTTACGGAATTGCGTCGAGCACGTGTGGCCATAATTCAACATATTTGGATGCAATATAATATCTAGATACAACTAAAAATTTTGAATGAAAATTGCATTTTAAATTGATTGGAAATATTATGTTGTATTTATATAAATCCTGTCGGGGAGAGGGGGGTGGTTGCAACTATGGATACTCGAAATTATGGAACAGAAAATTTTGAAATGTGATACCATCATTACCAAGAGGCTATTGAAACTTTAATAAATTTGATAATCATTCTCGGAAAATACTGGACCTTGGGTTGATAGGTGTGGGTAGATAGTATGATAGTCTGTGTTGCAATTGATTAGCATTCTACCTAGTACGATTGTGATCTAATTTGACATATTCTTCGGCGTATAACTTACAAAAAACTTCAACCAAATCAATAAGGAAAATAACCAAATTGTAAGAATTAAATGTACTTTGTAGTACTAATCAGTGTTGTTAAATATGGCAAAATGAAAATCTAAACTGGAAAACCTACTGCTTGTTATAATTACATCGGAAAGAGAACGTTAATGTTAGGCATAAATATGAACAAAAGTAATTAGGAATTAAAGAATTTTTGGTTTAAGTTAATGATAATGCTAAGAAAGAACGTTTTCTTTCTAACGAATTTTGAAATTTAACCTTTTTTTCATTTGCATACATTCAACCTTCAATGATTATTCCATAACATATAAAGCTTTTCCTAAATTACCTTCTAAAATAAAATTTATTTTATTTTCAATGTTATTTAAACAGTTCGTATGCTATTTATAATTTTTGTCCTTGCCGTGTGAAATCTTTAGTAAACAAGCCTACATTTTATGTCTACTATTAATCACATAATCTTCAAGATATGGTTATAGACACTTTGTTCTAATTTTTTAACATTTTATTTGTTGCATTTTTGTTTTATTTTCAAGCCTTGTTGCGATAAATCAAACTTTTATCGATATTCTGGATTGCATTCTAGAAATTACGATTAGATAAATTAATTGAATCACATACGTAAGCAATGATTGGTTAATAGGTCTTCATACTCATAAAATCTATTTAAAATTTGCTTTATTGATTTTTTAATTTTAATTGATTTTATCGCAAAAAACTATTATAATATACGCATACAGTAAAAACAGAGAAATGAGCTGGATTTTTTGTTATTTGGTGAACAATTAAAATTTGGTTATTAAAAACAAATTATTTCTTCAGCTCACATTGACCCTTACCTTACCTTTCTCAATTTTATTCCCTAACGATTCAGAATGACTTTGAAACATGAAATTACTAATTTCAATTTTCTGTTAAAAACTTCTCCTTTTGTAAGTTACCGAGGGATGCTTGAATTAACCACTAAATGGTCGCTTAATTTAAGGTAGAGAAAAATTATTTTAAGATTTTTTAGTAATTTGATACTTTGACTTGCTTTAAAAAAACAGATAATATCACAGAAGATGTTAATCAATGTGCGCATATAACCATTATATAAATTGTAAGTGGACAAATGAATAAAAAATAAATAGATAATAATCTAAAGTATATGATGCTGATTAAATGAAATCAAATAATTATATTGTTATTCTAAGCATCATTCGATTAACAGGTCTTTAAATTATAGTTTGTTATTAAATATTGATATTTTTTATTAAAAAAGATATTTTAATGAAAAGTGCTATTCTATAGTTTTAATTAATATTTGATCACAAGATATACCTACTCGTTAATATAAAATGAAAATTCTAATTTTATTCTTAATCATTCTTTCTATGTTTTACCTTGCGTCCTGTGGTAAGCAATCATTTGAATTTTTAAATATTGTAAATGATTTTGGATTGTATTTTATTACAATAAAACATCTTTCAGATGAGCGCATGGTGAATGGAAACGAAGTAGACATTTCAACATTTTATTGGCAATTGTCCTTTTCAAGTAATTTTCAACATTTTTGCGGTGCAGCAATGATCAGTAAGCGATGGGCAATAACAACCGCTTTTTGTGCTAAAAAGTGAAGTATTCCAACATTATTTTGAATTAATATGTATTAGTTTCAAGCCATAAGTCAAACTAGTTGGTATTGGAATTTTGCCTTGAGGCAAGTTACATGAAATTCCCGATATGTTTAAATAATCGACTTAATCAATAAAAAATAAATTAATATATGATTGATTAAAAGTATTCCGAGTGGATTTATTACACATAATTGAAAATGAACAAACACGTTAACCCGGAGTATTTTCTGAAAGCAAATTTCCACAAATCAATAATTTTTATAATTAAACAAGTTTCCATAGGACTTTAATGGTTTAGTATGTTCATTAAGACCAAGCACTCTATCGGTATACCAAATAAATCGTCTAATTTTAATTATAAAAAACGTCAAAAAACTACTCATTTTCTCAAACTTTGGTGAATTTTTAGAATTAAACTACTTGTCGTAGGGCAGTAATATTTTAGTAAGTTCTTTAAGACCATGATATATATCGCCAAAAAAAGTTCCACAAAAATCGGCCTATTTTTTTGCAACAGTTAATTACAAGAAAACGTCTCGGTAGATTTTCACCTAAAACTAATTAGTATCATTCCCAACTAATATCTTTCGAACTATTTTTGATTTTTTAACATCTATTCGGTAGTATAGAACACTTTTTTTCAAATTACAAAAAAACGGCTCGGCAGATCATCGCACAAATCTGACAAACGATAGTCCTCATCAAATAGCTTTTGAATTTCCGAAATCGGTTCAGGCGTTTTTGAGAAAACGTCGATGAAAAATCTAATTTTGGCAAATGCTAAAAAAACGATATTAATTTTTGCAAACTTTCAAGAGTTTTTTAAATTAAAAGGAATTTTAGTATGATCTAAAAGACTATGGTACCTATTGTCAAAAAAAATAATAAAAATCGTCGAAAAAAATTAACACCTTATTACAAAAAAAACGTGGACCAAAAATCTTTCAGTTTTCTGCGATTTACAAAAAAACGGCATGGCTGATCGTCGCGTAAAATTAATAAACGCGAGTCTTCATCGAGATACATCAAATGGCTTTTATATTTTTAAAATCGGTCTAGCCGTTTTTGAGAAAACGTCGATTTACGGCAAAGAATCAGTTCACATACACACACACACACATCGACACACACATACTTTTTCCAAATTTGGTCTCATTTGATTCAGAATGGCGGGTTTTTTGATGAAAACATAAATTTCATTTTTAATATACTTTCTAATTATGTTATGATACAATAACATATCGTAGCATTAGGAAACATTATGATAAGTTTAAGCAATAGAAATATCTAAAGAATTTCAAACTTATTTTTAACTTCTGGTAGAGTAGTTATAGTGATCGCAAAAAATCGAAATCAAAAATTTTTGCATATGTTTGCATTCCAAAGGGTTTTGGACACTTTGCCATATCTTATTGTTAAAAAAATGAATGTGTGTGTTTTTTTTGTGTAGCGAAGGAAAAGTTTTTAAACATCCCAGACTTGTGTACCGCCTGGGTATAATTAGTGTTAGAAGTATCGAGGCAAAAGATCGATATTGAGTACTTTGAAAAGTATCTAATCAAAATATCGATGCCAAAAAAATATCGTGGCGAAAGTATCGATAGTACTCAATATCGAATTTTGAGTACTTTTCATAAAAATCAAACATAAGTGCAAGAAAGATCTAAAACTCATTAAATATTATATCACAATTCAATATTAGAATGAATTCTATTGCTTGTAATCTGATGTGTTAAATCAGAATCATTTTCAATATTGTAAAATTTTAACAGTAATTTTTCAATACTAATTTCAAATTCTATAATTTTTCAAAAAAAAGACAAGTTATAATAGTTGATTATTTTTGATTAAAACAATATAATAGTCTGATACTATATTCAAAAAGCAATACTTTTTAAGTATTTTTAAGCACAATCATATTTTTAATATTTTTTAGTGCAAACAATTGCCACAATTAATTTATTATTTTCTAAAAGTTTTTTGCCCACTATACTAAAGAAAGTATTCTTTAGTTTTGTTGTCATTCATTCAGAAAAGGTCAGTTGAAATCCGATTCCTAAAATATGTTCATAATGTGCACAAACTGAAAACGAGACATTTTAAGATTCACGTACCGCAAAGAAAATATTGCTCTTCTGTTCTTTTTTAAATTGTTTATTTAATTTTTAATTTACAAGTACTTTACTTCAACTTACAATTCACATACTTTTAGAAAGAAAAATAATAACGCATTGAAATCGATGAGTATTATTATTTGAAATAATTATATTTCGATTCTTTTTTACGCAAAATACTAATATATTGAAATTGATGAATATTATTATTTGAAATAATTATATTTCGATTCTTTTTTAAGCAAAATACTAATATATTGAAATTGATGAATATTATTATTTGAAATAATTATATTTCGATTCTTTTTTACGCAAAATACTAATATATTGAAATTGATGAATATTATTATTTGAAATAATCATACTTCGATTGTTGAATATGTTTTTATAAAACATTTTGGTACTTTAAAAAGGCGTTTCATTTTACAAAAGAGTAATAAATAAACATCTTTATTTATTAGTGTGGTCATATCCATTTTGGGTTTTTGAGCAATAAATTCTGAGACTAATGACCCTTCGGGATCATTTTTTGACACTTCTCTGAACAATTATGACCACCTAGAGAGACTATTCATTGCATTCGGCAAAATGGTTGGTTTTCGTAGTTGGTCGATAAGTGGGGTTCATAGATTACGCTGTCGATTCTTTTTGAGTACTATCGACGTAAAAGATCGATATTGGCAAATCTATCGAGCTAAAAAATCGATACCAAAAGTACTCACTATCGACCGCGAAGTATCGATATTTACTCAGTACTCGATATTTCGTTCTAACACTAGGTATAATACCGACTAAAACCTTCGGTTTGCCCTTGCCACTGGTTCCCACGGAAACCACTGCTAGTGTATTACTTCATGGGGGGAGAATCTAGAATTTTATCATTTTCGCTCTGAAATTGTACTTATCTCAAATGAGCAAAGTCCCATTCGCTCTTTCTCGTTCCATAGATCGCAGATCAATTAGCACTTCTCTCGCAAATGTGTCAGCATCACTTCTACATCGGTATCAGGAGTAGTTTTTCGGCTTAATATCTCTTCTGCATCGTCCCGTAGAGGACTAAATCACAGGCACAAATGAGTGTGTATGTGTGTACGTGGGTGTGTAGTATGTGGATACAACTTTTCGTCCACGTTTTAGGGAGCACCGCTTTCAATCTAACTAATCAGCACGTCTTGCGTCAATGAGAATCAAATGTTTTGAATCACCACGCAAATAAAAAAAGATAATACAATAATAAAGTATTTTTTAGAACGTCTATCCATGCAGCAGCTAGAGTACGTGCTGGAACCAGCAAATATAATAGTGGTGGTACTCATTACGGTGTGGAATGGCTCTCGTCCCTCATCCTCGTTATGATAGCCGCGATCAAAATTACAATGTAGGTTTAATTATGATAACAAAGGATTTCAATGAAACTAGAAGAAGCCGACCTGCCAAGCTCGTAGAGGCAAATGTCGACTTGCCTGTAGGCTCCTTTGTCACAGCTACTGGATGGGGATCTGAAACGGTACAGAATCACTGTAGCATGCTCCTATGCATAGTTTAAAACATAATATACTAATAATAATGCATAGTTTAAAACATAATATACTAATAATAATAATTTATTTTCTTGCTTAAAAAATATTTTGATAACAAAGTCTAGCATTAATATAATTGGGCAGCTCTACCTAAGTGTCGCGCCTAAAAATTTTTACACCATATCGCGCCTAAAGAAGTTTTACTCAATAATAATTTATTTTCTTGCTTAAAAAATATTTTGATAACAAAGTCTAGCATTAATATAATTGGGCAGCTCTACCTAAGATTTAAATGAATTTTGTTTCAGCTGACGTAATGAATCAAAAACACGCTACATTTGTGATTAATTGTAATTAAAAATTACAATTCTATGAGAACATATCAAGTTACTAATAACTATAATACATAATATAATTTTTAATGCAGATACCAGGAGCACCTATGTCAGAAAATCTTAGAGCAATATCTTTGCACGTCATTGATAATCAAGAATGTCTTGAAAAAAATCAAGAGTTGATTGATGTCACAGACAAGTAAGTAATATAATTTCTCATAGTTTCAGAATAAGTTATCACATTATTAGTGCACCCAGCCATCATTTTTTTTTTAAATCGTAATCAAATTATAATTTCAGAATTTTGTGCTGGATCAATAGAAGATAAAGGAAAATCAGTTTGTACAGGTGATTTTGGTGGACCCGCGTTGACGAAAATGGGGTTTTAGTAGGCTTGACAGCTTTTTCAACTAGAAATTGCACAAGTTTTCCATATCCAAATGTATTTACAAGACTAGCTGATCAGAAATAAGAGAATTTGTGAAGAAACATACTGGTATTTAGTAACCGATATCAAACTATGCAAAGTAATATAACATGTTGATCTACATAATTATTAAAACTATTAACAGTTCTTTTATTTGTGTTTATTCAGGTCACATATTCAATACATACAAAATTTGTTTTCATTTGAGGGAAACTTTAAATTCATTTGATTAAATTTATTACAGATTCAGTTAAAACTATAAACATAAATTAAATTTACTTAACATTTTTTCCATAAATTTTCTATGAAATTCTGATCTTAGCGAATCGTTTATGAAACATATATAATATTAACATTATATCTTTAATATGAAACCAGATGTATAATCCCCTTCTAAATCCATAAAAATGGACTCAACTATATATAACATTATATGAGAATATTGGCTAATATTCACCTTAAGAACTTCTTTTGGAGCGTTACTGGAATAATTCAACAGAGGATTTCCGCTAAGGATATTTTCCATTCTAATTCTTTCTTCTTCTTGTCGTCTTTCCATTTCTTTTTTTGCTTGCTCTTGTGATCTTTCTTTCTTAATTCTATTTAATTCTGCTATAAAGCAGCAGTATCATCTTCGCTATCACTATCAGAATCTGAAGAATCTGCATCAACGGATCATCGGCATCTAAGCTTGTTTACTGGTACCTACATAAAAATAAATAGTATTTTTGAAACACTTCATTATTGTCATAAAACTTATTGTATACATAACGACTGCTAGTTATATTTATTATTAAAATGTAATGCAAATAATAAGTATAAAAATATGTTAAATTGATTACTAACTTTCGAGTTATCTAACAATAGAAATAACTACCATACACGAATAATATATCAAAATTTCTGCACGAACTGAACTATATGTAAGTAAAGAAATGCTAATAAATATTAATTTTGTTAAGCTTATCTCAATCGAGATGCCTAAATAGAAGTTCATTTAACAAAATTTTATATTCTTAGAAACCGTAACTAAATTACTTGGTCTTACTTGATCTACTTTTTGCCTTTTCCTTCCTTCATCAATTGCTCGAGCTCGTGCCTTATTTGGATTCTGTTCTTTTTCTCTCTCTCTAATTCTTTACGAAAATCACGTCCACGAATTCTTCGATGGTACCTTGTCCTTGTTCCCTACAACATCATTTAATTATAGCAATATAACTTTCAATGCTTTTATTATTGCTACTATCACATATTTGTGGTTTTACATATTACATACCTGTATTTAATTTTGTATGTCCTCTGGTAAATCTCTGCTGGAATATTGACGCGATATTGCGCTCAAATCTTTTTCTCCACGGCCTGATCCTCCTCTAGCTGGATCAAATGTAGGTCTTGCTGCGTCGTCGTCATTTTTATTAAATAAAATATTGAACTTTAGTGATATTGTTTCTTGAGCACAGTTTCAATTAAATTAATATTGTAAATATAAATTATAAAAAGATACCAGGAAGTATTTTTACAGATTGTTGATCGACAAATGTCAAATCGATAGTGTTGCCAGCTGCTACAAAATGAATATGAATAATGGAGGATCTAGTATTAAATTTACTCAAACGGTAGGGTGAGAAAAATAATTTAATTAAAACTTTTTGATATAATAATTGCTGACAATTTAAAGTAATATTATTGTATATTATTAACAAAGTATATAATTATTATAGAAACGTTGAAGTTAGTGTTATTTAAAATTTTTTTTTTTAATGACATAAAATTAAATTTTACAGTTATAAATTAAATTATCAAAAGTGAAAATTCGGAATGATGAATATCAAATTCTACACAACAATTATTTTTTACTTTCAATAACTCCCTGAAGGAGTTTATATTTTCGCAAAACTTCGATTTGTTAATTTTACGTGGACGTTTTGAGTCATTCTAAATCGAATGAGACCAAATTTGTATGTGTGTGTGTATGTAAACTGATTTTTGGTTTTTGTCGACGTTTTGTCAAAAACGGCTGAACCGATTTTAAAAATTTAAAAGGCATTCGATGTAACTTGATAAGGACTATATTTATATAACACAATTATATAATTATATATTTTAATGGTACATAACTGAAATAAATACATAATAATACATACTATATATGTTTGCGTGACTATTGACCGAGCCGTTTCTTTGTAATTAGGAGAAAAGAATAAAATGTATTGTTCCACATTTCAGCCCACAATTTACAATCGATATTAAATTTTTAAAAAGTATTTGAAAGTCATTTGTTGTAAATAAATTTATTGACGATTTTAATGAAACTTTGTATAACCATAGATTTTGTAGTCTGAAAACACCAACTAAAATATTATAGACCCACGATAAGCGGGTGAATTATAAAAATGTATCCTTTCATAGAACTTTCATATTTTTTGGTGTTTCATAATTAGCTACTGGTTACAGTCGATGTCTACACTTAAATAAGAATATTTTTTTAAAACACAAAATAAATGAAATAAAATGTGTTAAAATTTATTTCATACAATAAAAAAATAATCAATACGATTTCCAATTGATGTCTCTCACACATATTTATAATATCCGTATATCTTATATATAAAAATGGATCGCTAAATGTGTTGGTAAGCGCATAACTCAATAACGCCTGGACCAATTTGGCCAATTCTTTTTTTAAAATGTTCGTTGAAGTCCAAGAATGGTTCTTACGGCGAGAAAAATTGAATAATTGACGGAAAACTCCTAAAAACAGTCCTTTTCTTTTCACATACAAAATTTTTCTAACTAAAACGTAGAACCAATTTGAGCTTTATTGCTATTTTATAAAGTTCATATTAAATTACAAGGACTCACTGTATACTCCTCCTAAACGGTTATTCAGATTTTGATAAATCTTTCTGAAGTTTGTTAAGGAAATTTTTTAGGATGTATGTGATTATAAAGTACTGGGATGTATGTGCAATATTGTAGAAATAATAGCATCTTTACTAATCTTTCCACAATATTTTTAAAATTCGTAAAAACTTCACTTTATCACAACAAATGGGAAAATAAAGATGAATACATACAATTCTGCCCTCACGATATCGATTAGGAGAAGTTTAGGATGCAATTTTGGATATCTTAAATAATAAAAAATTAAATTCATTTAATCCAACGTGAAATACCAGTGTTATGTTATGTTTATGGTTATGTTATACCGTTTAAAAAACTTCAATTTCCAATATAGTGTGGGAATTGAGACTCATCATTTTATTTAAAGCAGTTCTACATTTAACATCGCTCATATTATAAAAGTATATGCATTTTGGCGTGAAGAGTACTTTAAAAAACAAAAATTGTTGTTTTTAGGTAAACAGTAAATCTTAGTATATTATATTAAAAATTGTAGAAATGGGTACAGGACAACGTCTGTTGGGTCATCTAGTTATAAATATGTTTGAAAAGCATTAATTGGAAATTGTATTGATTATTTTTTATTAGTAAAAGCAAAAGTTTTATTTGTGAAATAACAGTTGCACATTTTACTTTAGTAGCTGATTCACAATTTTTATTGATTAAGTTAATTAAGGGGGCGTCTCATTAATCACATGAGACTTTTAGTCAGAGCGGGTATAACAAAAAACTACAAAATATCACGTGCGGGAAGAAGGGAACTTTTTGATTTTCAAAAAATCAAAAAGTTTACAAATTTTTTGTAAATTCGAAAAATTTGTTCGATAAGAACGAATAACGTTCGATAAGAATTTTTAAGTAATTAAAATACTCGTAATGTTTGGTGGGGCAGGGGGGTGGTAAATTTGAACATCATGACGTATCATCAAGAGGTAGGGGAGGTCCAAAAGTCGTTATAATCGTTCGTGCTCTAAGGTTAGGTGAGGCGCACTTAATTAAGTAAACTTGCCTTAAGGCAAAATGCTACTTACAACTAGTTTAACTTCATTATCTATGATTTAGAAAAATCAATTATCTCTTTCTCATCATGATATATTACATTCCACCATTCCACCTTGCCACGGCCGCAATTTATACTTGTTTATCTATGCACTGACGCTCCCACTAATATGAATGAGTGTTGCCAGAGGTGACAGTTATGCTTCTTCCCTACCGTATAATATTCTACTTTTCTGCATTAATACATAAATCTGAATAATGAGTAGATCATAAAACTCAAATTAATACAATTATTATTTAATTTCAAATGTTTAAAAACCATTTTATGTGACTTTTTGTAACAAATCTTAGCACACTTTGGTGTTCCCCCCTCCACGTGCAACCTCTTTCCAAATCTGACAGTTCTGACAACACTCATTCGTGGGTTGTGTACGAGTTGTGTTGCGGCTGCATTTTGTGAAGAGTTTGTTTTGATTTCTTATCGTTATCAGTAATATTTTATATGTATTAATTACAACAATTGTATTCAAAATAGTGTTTCCGTTATGCTTTGCAATGTAAGCGTTTCAGGAGCAAATAAGCTCATGAATTAAACCAAATTAAGCGAGCGTCTTTGTTTGTTTATTGCCACTGTTTAATGAAAATAAGTGTTATAAGAAAGTTCAGGTGTTGCATGTCAAAAATGTGTTAATAGAAATATTGTCTGGTACAGATATTTTACGGAAATTTGACTAAATTCAACGCTATAAAATGATGCTTTCGCAAGCAGATACATCGGCTCTAATGTCCCCGGTACATCAGGTAAGATTTGTTTTTTATTGTTTTATGAAATTATGACGCTCGAGAATTTGAAAGTCAAATCGTCTTGTGAATGACATTATTAATAAGATACATGCAATAATTTATCATTTAGTTAATGATTTTTATTTATTTTTAAATTATAAGATCAAAAGTTAATATTATATGTACACAAGTATATGTATACAAATACACTATGTTAGTGTTATCTAACTCTACACTTAACTTTTTAATTTATTTTTTATTTTTTATTATTTTATTTTATTTAGTTTTATGATCAATTTTCTTTATTTTGATATTTTAATTGAAAAGTGCATACAACTCTAAATTTTGTCCAACTTACCACAAATCCCTATTTCATAATATTCATTTTAGTAGTCAAATCACTTTTCATCTATCACTATATTCTCGTGTCATACTCATAATATGTTAATGACAATACTCCTCCGAATCGGCTTGACCGATATTTATGAAATTTTTTAATCATGTTCAGTATGACTGATGAGAATAAGTTCACATTTATTTTTCATAAACCGAAGTCGTAAGGTTAGCCACCTTTAAACCTTTTTTACCAATAACACATGTACTCTTAAATTTTCACCCTCCTATCTCAAACCTCTATTTTGTAATAGTAATATTAGTAAGCAAATAATTTTTATCCCGCGTGCAGTCAATGAATATTTATGATTTAATTTTAGTTCAGAATTTTTTTAGTTCATGGCTAAGCTAAAACTTTGAAGAAAAACAAGTTATTTTCATCGAGGGTTGTCTAACCCTAACACTTTTTTAAAAATTTGTTAACAGTTTTCTTTATTTTGGTATTATTAATGCGGAATTAAAAAATACATATAACTCAAAAAATTATACAAATTTTCTCCATCCTATCACAAATACCCATTTTGTAATAGTCAATTTAGTAGTCAAATCATTTTTCATCAGTTTGATAACTGATCAATTATAGTCTTTTTTGTGAACGTTTTTCATTGTATTTTGATCAAGATTTTTCTGATCTTATTGAAAACCTTGAATTTTTTCGCTCTATTTGTTGAAAAATTTTAAAAACAATTCTTATATAGTGACGACGGACAAAGTAGATTGATTCTTGCATAATGAAATTATTAGTGTAATATTATAAATTTACTGTACATAACCGATTGTCGTATATATAAATAAATAAATAACTTGATTCTTAGAAGATTTTTCCATGTTACAAATATTTCCCTATCTGCACACGCAGTATATGTATCTAAATAGTTTACACAAGACTTCCAGAATGAGCAAAAATATTTTAATCTGAAGATACAACAGTTTTCGAGATGTACCATTCAAATTTATGGCAATGTAACTTTTTTTATAAAGCTTTTGAAATCTCAGTCGATTCATTGATATGCCACAATATAATTCAAAAATGAATGTTTGGATTTTGCTTCTAAATTCAGAAATCAATGAATTAATGAAAACCGCGGCTGTGATATATAAAAACTTTTAATATCCAAATGTGCAAATTCAATTTAAATAAAATCAGTTTTAGATTAGGCTTGCACTTGCAATGGCTATTCATACTTTCCAGAAATATTTACATGAGGATTGTAGCGGTGAAACATCCAATTGATTGGTGTTAGCTGTCTTTCTTACTTATATACTACACTTCTTTTTCATCAGTTAGATGCTTTTTATACCAAAATTTTTTTATAAATATTTTTTTTGGCTAAACGACGTTTGCCGGGAATTCAATTTAAATTAATCAGTTATAGATTAGGCTTGCAATTGCAATGACTATTAATATGTCCCATGAATATTTATGAGGCATGCATTGTAGTGGGTAAACTATCCAATTGATTTGTGTAGCCTTTTTCACTTATATACTTATATACTACACTTCTCATTCACAAACAGTTAGTTGTTTTTTATACTAGTTTATTTTCTATAAATATATTTTATGGCCAAACAATGTTTGCCGTGCCTGCTAGTATATATATATATATATATATATATATATATATATATATTATTATATATATATATATATATACTATTATATTTATTGTAAACGTTTACGTTTATAATAAATATCAGTTATTAATAAAGCAAAAAACAATTGCATTGCCGTTCGACGGGTTTCTAATTGATTTACAGACAGAATGTTTTATATTTTTTATTACATAACTTCTCGTGTATTAATAAATTTATTTTAATTAAAATCCGTATATTTAATGAATTGATTTTCATTAAATAAAGTTATAATGAATATTACCAGACACGATTTAAATATGAATTTTATCTCATTTTATATATAATTAGATTGTAGAATTATGCAGAATTTCTCGGTTCTTTTAGCAACGGAAAGTTGTTTTATAAATATATATAAATGCATATTGGTATGTGTATGTTAACTACTATGTAAAATTCGGGGTATGTGTACATAATTGCATAATATTATGACTAACTAAAATTTAAACAAATTAGTATTATTGTAATTAAGAAATTATGTTTATGATCCAAATTGATATCTGCGCTGTGATAAGGACTATATATAGTTTATGTAATCAGTTTTTGTACTTTGTAGGACTTTTCAAATCTGGGTTATTTTTTTATTCGACTGAGATGTTGACCTGATTCATCTATAGGAATATAATAGATTAGTACTGACAATTAGGAGGCTAATTGCGAAAAGTATATTTTTTATAATAAAAGTATCTGTCTTTGAGCTAGATTAAGATTTAACTTCGATGCAACTTATAAATTTTCTACAGTTGTTTTTTATATAGACAAATTCTGATTTTCTTAACATAATAATATGGTAATTCATTCTGCTTTTACTATTTTTATCTATTTAGCACTCACGTATATATGTATTTATATCGCATATTTTCCATGATATCTAACTGGTTAACGTCCAGTTAAGTATGTGATAGTAATCACAAAAAAATCGAAAATCAAAATTTTTAATTATCTTCACGTTTCAAAATGTCTCTCAGCATTTAGCCATTCATTAGAGAAAAAATGAATTTATTTGTGTGTGGGTGTGTGTGTGTGCGGATACAAATTTTCGTCGACAATTTCGTAAACACGTATTAACCGATTTGAACTATTCAAAAACCATTCGCTTCCTATTGATGGAGAGATGTGATGATTGTTTTCAAGATACTGGAAAATAAGTGCCTAAAATGGCAGTTCAGTTTTTTAGAAAACGTACCGTCCAATTTCAATGATTCAATTTCAAATGAAGAACTGATTAAATTTTTGGTATGCGATTTTGAAGATCCAATATAATAAGTAAAAAAATGACATTTGGCGGTCAAAAGCGATCAATTTGTCATATGTTCATCAAATTATCTCATATTTTATAGAGATTTTAATCAAACGTATAAATTTTGCTTATACTTCTATGGGCTTTGCATCAACGTTTATCTGTTATACTGCGACGCGGCGCTTTCGCGCTTTGATAATTTATCTTTAAAACAGCTACGCAGTGGTATATTTGTTGAATATTAAGTGTTTTCAAATAGATTATTATAAATACTGTAACATTGTTAATATTTATAAGAATTATATAAACTGAATTAAAAGTTTAAAATTATTTATTTAAAGAATATAAGTGAGCTTTAGAACTTTAGCCAAAATTAAAATTAAAATCTGAATTATTTGAGGTATTATACGTGATGTTTAGAACTTTAGCTAAAGTTCTGTAGATTAAGAATTAAAATCCGAATTATTTTTTGATATCCAAAAAAAATTTTTTTTAATTAAAAAAAAACAATTATATTACCTTTACTTTACCCAAAAGCAATAGTTTCGTCAACACAACCAGAATTTTTTTTAAATCATTCAAATCGGATGCTTAATTCTTTCAAAAACTTCCATTTTTGCACATTTAGCTCTGTAACAGCTGGGCCTGCCTTTTCTAAAATCTAATCACCACTTCTTCCCATCATGACGATTCGAATGTTTTTCGGATCATTCAAATCAGTTGATCCGTTCTCTTAAAAACTGATATTTTTAGCACTTTTCGATTCATATCTCCGAAGCCACTGGATCTGCCTTTGCCAAAAACTAATCAGCTCATCTCTCTATCAATAGGAATCGATTGCTTTTTGAATTTTTCAAATCGGTTCCATATTGCCCGAAATCGTCGGCGAAAAATTGTTTCCACACATACACACACACACCCATTTTTTTCTAGTCTGGGATGCATAAAGGCATTTCCTTCGCTATACAAAAAAAACATTTTTTTCTGAGGTATGCCAAAATGTTTAGACATCTCAGTAACGTGAAGATATGCTAAAATTTTCATTTTCTATTTTTGACCCATTGCTATAACTTATACTACGAAAAGTTAATAGTTCAAAATTTTCAATAAATTTCAAAAAAAATACAAAAATAAAAATTTTCAAAGTTAAATTCATTTGAGAATTTAGGAATTTTTGCAAAAAAATGTTCAAATATTTCTAAATTCTCAAAAATCTATTTTTTTTTTCAAAATTTCCAACAAATTTTAAAGTTTGTTCCAGCAATTTGCCTCAAGACACGATGCCGTGTACCACTAGTGTGATATCATATTTGCAAAAATGAATGTGTGGGCAAATGTTTAATCTTTTATTCATGCTTTTCGTGCAATATGTTGCTTTTCATACAATACTGGTTTTTCTACAGTGCTTCTTACTTTTTGTAATGAAATTCTAGTTATCTTAAAATAAATGCACCGCAGCTGCAAAGCCCCAAACTTCCTTGCTCTAAGAATTCATATCGTTTGTAAATAAACAGCTGGCAACTAGCTTCATATTACCTTCAGCAAATGCATATCTCAATTATATATAATTATTTATATTTTTTATTCTTTATGAAGAGTTGGGGTTTGCGAATTTATATTGAATACAAGTATTGCAGATTGGTTGTCAGGCACAAATATAACGCATATAATAATTATTGCATATTTTCTTCATGTATTGTCACGAATGTTCTATCTGCTTCATCATTTCAATGGGCGCAATCATATTACAATTATTATGCCGCCGTTCATTTGCTCCAATGGCCTTAATTGTTAAGAGGACTTTGTCAACTTAAAGTTATTTAACTGCTTGCGTCACATTATTACCACAGATTTTATAGTGTTTTAATAAATAGAACGCCTGATTTAGGCATTATTTTTGCACTTCTTTACATATTTATATAGATTTTTGAAGTGCGAAAAGAGAAAATACAGGGAACTGAAAAGCGAAGCACAGGATCAAAAAGCCTGGAAACAAAAGATTGGAAAGGAAAATTCATCAATAAAAAGTGTTTAATAGTAATGGGAATAATAAAAAGGGGAGGGAAACAGAATCATTGATTTGAGGCGTTCTCATAACATGGACCTGCCTTTGGCAGACTACTATTTTATTATTATTATTTTTGAAGTTGATTAGTGAAATGGAAATTTCACAAATTTCTTCATTTTTTGTATTAAAATATATGTTTATGCATACTGTATCCAAATAAGTTATTTTAAATGAAAATTTTAAAATTTTCGAAATTGACTAAAAGCTAATAAGTGCGATTTTCAATTGTATCTTTTAAACAAAATTTTTATATTTATATCTCCATTAATTATATGGTATTAAATCCGTGCAGATCAGCTTTTCGTAATTATGAAACTTTGCACAGTAGCAGAGTTCATGGTCTCAACGATCATCCTAAAATATTATGCGCTTATAAAAAGTGGCTTAATTATAGAAATTCATTAAAGTTTGGAATGAATAGTCTAGTCGGTTATTTACACATATCCGAAAGTATTTGCAACTCGCCTTAAGGCAAAATTCCAAAAACACTAGTATTTTTTAAGTTGATTTTCCTATCGTTTTTACATTATTTACCACAATACTCCAACATTTAAGTTTTTTTACAACTCTTATTTTAATGTCGCTGATTAAAATTTTTATTTTATTAATTTCTTGGATTCTGATGTTGAAAATAAATGTATTCTGTTTTTTCTCAAAAATATATTTTAATTGAATATTTTTTTTTTGTAATTATAGCATTACATTTAGGTATGAAAGTCTCTAAATTTGTTTTTAGGTCAATAGATTTTATTTAAATATTGGTATATCAATCCAAAGAGTTTTTGTAACGTTTGAACCAACTAGTATTTAAGAAGCTTTGAATCAATTATTGCTGGGGTATTGTGTTTAAATTATATTTTTATTGCTATCCATATTTATAGTGTTTATTTACGCCTGAGATTTTTTATCTATAGAGATATTTTGCTATTAGTTCCTGTTATCAGTTTTATATAACTAATAATTATTTTGTCAACTCATTATCAAAATACGTTTGAAGAACCTTTAGTTAAGTCATAGTGAATATTTTATTTATTATTTCCCGTGTAACAGACTTGATTTCTTAATTTGAATTTGAATTGCTATGTGTCAAATATAATAATGATACACTGTTTTTAAAGATCCTACGCATTTCATAATAACATTGCGTGGTTAATATATACATTGTGTATAGAAATGTGATATGAATTATGTAGCTTCCTAAGAATACGTACAGCGCATCATTTGTTTATAAATAAATATATATATATATATATATATATATATGTATATATATAATAAATGGTAGTGCCCGAAGGCAGGTCCATGTTGTGAGATCCACTACAAATCAATGATTTTCTTTCTTTTTCTCATCTATCAGGCCCATTACCAGTATTCCTTTTTTTTATACATTAATTATGTATTTTTTTGCAAACTTCTGCTTCCATGCTTCCTCATTCTTCGCTTCGACTTTCAGTTCCCTGTATTTCCTCTTCTCGTGTAAATCAACCATCAACCATCTGCATTCTTCTTCTTCCTATCCCAGGCCTGAATACTTCTATTTTATATTAGACTACATCGCGTAGGATGCACTTTTTGCTGAATGAGTCCGATCCAGTTTCCTTTTCTTTTCATGATCGTGCTTAGTAGAGTCCTTTCTCCACCCACTCTTCTCAGGATTTTTTCATTTGTTATCTTGTAAGTCCACTTCATTTTCTCCATTCGTCTCACAGCACTACATTTCAAATCTATCCAGATAGTTTTTGTCGGCCTAGAGTCCATGTCTCTGATCCGTACAGAGCTAGGTTCCAGACATAACATTTTATTTGTCTTTAGTGCAGTAAACGGAGAGGAAAAAAGGGTATAACCTCTGAATTTTTTTACTGTGCTCAGAATTGAATGAAATTTTGGAATTGGGTTCATTTTACCCTCAAGTTCAAAAGTGAAAACAATTCGGGTTGCGCCTTCACCCCCCGGGGGGATGACACCCCTTCTCAATTGTGCAATTACATTTTTTCAAAATAACGTCGGGAATCGATAGAAGAACTAATTATAAGAAAAAAATGTCTTCTATAGTTTTTTAAAAAAACTAATACTTTTCAAGTTACTGGCCACTAGAAATTCATATATTTTCGGCGTTTTTCTTCGTTTTTTTGCAAATATCTCCTGAAATATACATTTTAACGAAAATCATGTAATGAGCAAAATAATGTCAATAAAAATCTTAATAAATCGGTGTTACATAAAGTGTTCTAGGAAAAATATTAAGCAAGATTTGAAAGAGCAAAGTCGTTTTCTATTTCGTTCAAGATTTAATTGTTGTATTTAAAGCCATCTAGTGTCGAGGTTTTACATTTTATGCATTTCGGTAAAATTGGGTTTTATAGTGCTCAACATGAGCTTTAAAATGAGTGCTATTACAAGAAGCATATACGTAGTTTTTTTTCTTTTAAATCATATGGTTTAATGAGCGCCATTTCCACCAGAATTAAAGTAATTCACATTCTATCTAGAAATCACTTCATTATAGACATCTTGATAGATTATAGCAGATTCACTACTTTAGTACAAATTATTTTCAGAAAACTCACGTTTTTATAAAAAAAAATCTTTCCAATTTGCGCGGCCGCGCAGTCTTTAAACGTTTATAACTCTGTTAATTTTTGTGTGAAAGAAAAATAATAAAAAACAATAATAAGGCAGAAAGATCCCTTTGATTTTTATCTATATGTTTTTATACGTATCTTTTATTCTTTTTGAGATATAATGAAAATAATTTCAATTTTTAAAAAAATTGGAGAAAACAGTTTTTATAAAATCGTGAATTTTCTGAAAATAGTTTGTACTAAAGAAGTGAATATGCTAGAATCCATCAAGATGTCTATAATGAAGTGATTTCTAGATGGAATGTGAATTACTTTAATTCTGGTGGAAATGGCGCTCATTAAACCATATGATTTAAAAGAAAAAAACTTCGTCTATGCTTCTTATTTGCATTATAGCTCACTCATTTTACACGCAAAAAACTTGTAACAGCACTCATTTTAAAGCTCATGTTGAGCACTATAAAACCCAATTTCACCGAAATGCATGAAATGTAAAACCTCGACACTAGACGGCTTTAAATACAATAATTAAATCTTGAACGAAATAGAAAACAACTTTGCTCTTTCAAATCTTGCTTAATATTTTTCCTAGAACACTTTATGTAACACCGATTTATTAAGATTTTTATTGACATTATTTTGCTCATTACATGATTTTCGTTAAAATGTATATTTCAGGAGATATTTGCAAAAAAACGAAGAAAAACGCCGAAAATATATGAATTTCTAGTGGCCAGTAACTTGAAAAGTATTAGTTTTTTTAAAAAACTATAGAAGACATTTTTTTCTTATAATTAGTTCTTCTATCGATTCCCGACGTTATTTTGAAAAAATGTAATTGCACAATTGAGAAGGGGTGTCATCCCCCCGGGGGGTGATGGCGCAACCCGAATTGTTTTCACTTTTGAACTTGAGGGTGAGATGAACCTAATTCCAAAATTTCATTCAATTCCGAGCACAGTAAAAAAATTCAGACCTAAAACGCTCCGTTTACTGCACTACTTCTCCGCAATTCGAGACTCAGTTTGCTAATATCATACGTTTCGGGTTCTGATTTGACCCATCTTCAGTGACCCAAAACGTATGATATACAATAAAAACATTTTTCTACAATAAAATCCTTTTTATTATTAGATGAAATATTATGATACTTTATCATAATATTTCACGATCTGAAAAAAACCACCGCTTTTTATGTAATCCAAGGGCTGAAAAATGGGATAATTTCAATATAAAATAGTCAAGATTTTTTTCATTCTCAAGACACTGAATATGCACATTCTCTACAAGTTTCAAGATTCAACAAATTTCGTCAAGATTTTTCGCAAGTGTTATTAAATTTTCAACATCATGAATTTTTATAATAATTATAATTTTACCTACCTACTACTAGATATGTAAATTATTCTATTTCTACAAATAAGCACCGAAGATGGGTCAAATCAGGACCAGAAATGCATGATATTACAATAAAAACATTTTTCTACAATAAAATCGATTTAATTATTTGATGGATTGCCCAAGAACACTTTATCATAATATTTTACCATCTGAGAAGACCTCTCACTTATTCGAATTGATTGGACTAGAGTGTTTGCTGATAACTATAAATGGTTCGTTTGGTCACATCTACTATTCTTTACTTCTGAAATTGCGGAATTATACCAAATTCATTTTATCAAAATCTTATGTTGATATTTTTTGGTACATGCAGAAAAATTGAATTTTTGTATAAAACAACATATTTTTAGTAAATTTAAATTTTATTTATTACAAATGGCAATGACAAAAGATTAGTTAATTTACAATCCAGTGTAAGATTTGATGAAAGATCTGACAGTTGGGTTAGCAACGCGAGCATAGACACCTGGGTAGTCACGACGAGCGCATCCGTATCCCCAAGATACAACACCGACCAAACGGCCGTTGGCATCAACCAATGGGCCACCGCTGTCTCCTTGGCAAGCGTCCTTACCGCCTTGGTCAAATCCAGCGCAGATCATGCTGTAGGGAAATAAAAATATATTTAGTTAAACTGTATAAATGAATAACAATTTTAACACTTTGGGGACGGCTGTCCACCTGAGTGGACAAACATACTCTGTGCGGCACAGGCTATTTTATAAACAATGACTCAGTTTGCATCGAAAAGTTGAATAAATTACATATAGTAGTGATAAACAGTATTGTATTTTGAAAATAATTTTAAATTATTTTAGTAGTATTTTTAGCCTTTTTCTTTGCAATATGGTCTTTTTTTAATATTTAAAACGACCGAGCGCTTTTAAATATGGCGAAACGACTGGTAAATTTTGTGAATTAAGCAGTAGTGAAGATGAGTTTCAAATAGACATTCATACAGAGAAATTTTACGAAATTACTATTCGCACCGATGATAGTGATGAATGTGATGATGATATTATCCAACCAACAAAAAGAAGAAGTTCGACAAAATAAATGAAGAGCGGGAAGGCATTAGCGAATGTGCCGATTCTCCTTCAATAATCGAGTTTGACATACATCAACAAACACCCGACTACAAATACCAAGCAATATAAGACATTCAATATATTATTTTACTTTATATTTTATAAATGGATTAGACAATATAAAAGAAAAAATAAACCATTATTGCAGCAAAAAATGACCAAATATACTGACTAATCAGTGGCATATTCTAAACGCGAGTGAAAGAAAAAGGGATTGTATTGTCTGTTCTGACAGAAAAGCATCAGGAGGAAGGCGGCGAACAACATTTTATTGTAAAATATGTCAAAATCAACCAGCTATGCACTTTGGAAATTGTTTTGAACGTCACCATTCTTTATAAAATGATCAAAAATAAATTAATATTATAAATGTATGTCCTTCAATGACCACAAATTTTTATCAAACAAATTGCATAACATACACAATGAAATCAAGTTTACAGCCGGTAAAGTAAATTGTTTTGAAATCGGTGCCGTCCCGAAAGTGTTAATACTTAAAAAAAAGAATAAATATCCTAATATTTATTGTTGTGAGTATTGGTTTGTATTGGATACAATTATTACCTTGGAGCAACACCGCCGAATTGGGAGTATTTGCTGTTACATGTGTTTTGTGCTACGCATGGTACACCTACTCCTTGTAATTGGGTGGATCCTGCACCTCCTTCCTGCATTTGTTAGATACATTTTTTTTATTTGTGGATCTTCACATTAATCAATACTTTGGAAAATATTATCATGCACTTACGTAGACTGCACCCCATCCAGTGACGTAAAGGGGAGCTCCAGCTGGAGTGTCAACACCAGAAGCGATCATGTCAACGGGGCGAACTGATCTGCCGTTTAATACGAATTTGTCTTGAACACGGAGAACAGCAACATCGTTGATGTTGGTGTTGCCGTTGTATTGTGGGTGGACGACGATTTGGGCAACACGGTGGGAAGTACCGCCGCTGTTGTGGGTGCTGGTTCCGGCGCGCAGAGTTAAACCAGATGTGCCTGATCTGAAGATAAAGATAATACACAATTATAGTCGCATGGTTTAAATTTTTTTTTGAATATCATATTTCTAAATTGTGACTTTTGTTAGTATAAAATGTATCTCTCACCCAACGACGCAGTGAGCTGCGGTTACGGCCCAGGTGTCGCTGACGATGGAAGCGCCACAGAAGTGACGGCCATTGCTTTGCAGAGATAGTTGATATCCATAGTCGTTAATGTTGACTGAAACACCACCTACAATACGTCCATCGAGTTGGGGCTTGGCCAAGAACACCTCTGTAAATGATTGTTTTAAATTAATTCATTTTTGAAATAACAATACACATTTATTACTAATGATAATGCTATTTTTATTAAGCAAGAGTATTTAATTTTAAAACATTGCTTGCCAAATTTTAATGAACACTATTAATATTCTTGAAAAAATATTAATTTATTAATTCCAGTAATTAATTTATTTTTTATATTTGTCTAATTACCTTCGGAAACAGCGCAAGCCACTAGGGCGAATAAAGTTACAAACTTGAACATGTTGCAGTCGAAACAAAAACAACTATGATTACCTTTGTCCAAATGGTGTCTTTTATATCAACGATTTATCAATATTTTGATGATATCTCTGATATTAATCATCTGTTTTGATCTTGGGTTTTACAATCAGCTTACTCTTGAATGGATTTAGATAAATATGGTTACAAAATCATTTCCTAATCTATGAAATTGAATTATGAAGTTAAAACAATTGTGATGAGGATATTAATCAGAACCTATTTTTTCTATTGTTAAGGAGTGCATATTTTCATTATTATTTGTTCGAAATTTATGAACTTTTATTATAACAATGATGATAACATTTATGACAATAACAATATAATTACTATTGTTCTTTGAAGTATATATATATTACACAAAATAAAAAATATAAAAATATGATAATTTCATCATTCAAATCAGCATTTTACGGTTTTTGTTAAAACAGTTTTGAGAGTTCTATTACTTCTTAACTACGTGGCTTTTTAGAGCGCAACCCAACGGTTTGATCTGTTATATTTGATATATGTATATTTATTATTAGATTTTCTAATATTTTTGTTTGATGCAGCGGTTGCGGACAGTTTATTTTAACTTGAAAACGTTTCCACCTAAATTTCCAAGTGCAAACTTATGTCACTACTGCTTGACCTCAAGCTGCCCGAGACAAGCTTTACTTGGAAAACGAAAGCTTTCTAACCTCTAAAGCCACGAGGAATAATATTATGCGCGTTTGTTAATTTGAATGTGAATGTGTGTGGTTGTATATACACACATTTATATAAAATTAAAAATCATACACGAATGAATTAATGATTTCATTTTTTTGTTTGCCATTCACCGTCAGCAATCGTTTAATCTGTTTTTTTAAATATAAAGTATGTTTTAAAGTAAATTACTAACAAAATATTTTAATAACAAATAGAGAAACACTCATTTGTTATATTTTTTACAGAAAATAAATTCTACATTTTTATTTATAAGGGGTGTTAAAACGGAGACTTTTTATACTGATAGTTCAATCGATTACTATTGCATAAATTAAACGTGTAAATGTAGACTTGTTTTTTATTTGAAACCCTGAGGATGGCCTTCCATACAAATAATATTGTATCTTTTAATCTTTATTTTTAAAATATGATTTATTTTGAGTATAAAAAATTCAAAACATAATTAATAATATAAATTATTGGGATTATAGATAATAAATCGTCATATCACTGGATATAATCTTGTGCAGTTTGAAATTTTATCAAATTCTTGGGTATTTTTATAGTGATGAATTGGATTTTCCAATTTAATTGTCTTGACATGAAAATGAAACACTAGTCTTACTGCATTCAATTAAGTAATAAGGCAACGTACCACGGCTTATGACGTGTTAGTATTTTATTTATTTTTAACTAAATTAGGTAAATTTTATATTGATTTTTTATTTATTTTTCTAATTACAATATCTGTTACAACTGCTAAATAATATAACATCTAGTAAGATCAGTGAATAATAACATAAATATTAATAAAATAGAGTACAATATAAAGGATAGTATAGATATAAATATAAATATAAATATAGATATAAATATAGATATAAATATAAATATAAATATAAATATAAATATAAATAAATATAAATATAAATATAAATATAAATATAAATATAAATATAAATATAAATATAAATATAAATATAAATATAAATATATTTTTATCACAGTACATATTTTCATTAAAAACATTGATTTTAAATAATAATAAATTGTTCTTATATTTGTGTTATTCAATTTTGCTAAATTTTCCTAATTTATCATAATATTAATTTATGTGAAATCAAATTGTCAACATGTTCCTTTGAGTTTTATAAAACTTAAATGTTAAATGATTTTATGAATTAAAAATTGTATTAGATAATTATCGTAAATTTCATAATTTTTTAGTCAAAATTGTATATGATATCCTATATGTATTCAAGTTATAAGGAGCTGCACATTGGGATCATTAACTTACGTTTTAACAACTTACAGTTTTAATTAATAAGTATAGTTCTTTCCTATAAATTTCTTACAGTTTTTATTAACAAGTTTAGTTTTTGGGTTCTTGGTTATAGTAAACTATATGTTTTATTTTCTTTGAAATATTTCATAAGAAAGACAGCTATAGGGAAATATATTTTATATTTTCTTTGAAGCACGTTTTGTGAGTTCTTCAAATAATATTTTATGTATGGTGATTCTTTGTTTACTGTGCGCTGGAATTTTATTCATACCGAACCAGAATTTTCACTGCGTTTTTAAATAGAAGGAATCAGTCTAAATATTAAATTCTTATTGTTTGATGTCCATTTATTGGGTAACGAAATTTAGTGATAATTACGTAGAAATAGTTAGGCCGATGTTTATACAAAACAAAAGCATGTTAACGATATAAGAGATCTATAGTATGTTTCAAAAATATTCATAATATTCGAACTAAATTCACAAATGTTGTCATTTTAAATGCAGCATTGGCTCAGAACTTTTTTCCAAAATCTTGACAATTTTTTTTATTTGACAGCAAATTGCTTACACATACACATATGTACAATTGTTTACATCTGCATATTTTTTAATCTTTTGTGTTTATAAAGTTTTCAAACATCGACAAAGCGTCACAATTGAGAATCGGATTTCCTGTCAAAAATATAAACTTCTCCAATAGCGTTAAATTTGGCTTTATAAACTTATCAAGCAAATATTTTTTTTCGAGAATTTAATTTCATTAGTGGGTGTCTCTCGTTTCATTGTTATTTTTATTATTTCAGTCTATTTTAGGCCGTATAAAATGTAACTATCTTGAAGGTTTTGGGTTGTAACTATTTCTCCCAAGTTCAACTGTGAAGGTTAATAGCACGAAGTGTTAAGGTTATGAGTGACCATGGCCTACATGGCATCCTATTTGTGTAAGGAAAAGGGCGTTCCGCTGATAAATTCTAGAAATGACAGCTATGGGGGGATCATAGAAAATGTTATCAGGACGCTCTGATCGTGAATCTGTATGTATAGGGATTTTCATTGTGGTAAGATTGATAAAGGTATTTTTGAAGTGCGATATGGAAACCTTACAAATATTATAGATTACAATCATTTTAACGTATAGTTTTGGTAAAACTATTTAGGACAGTGGATTTTTATAGGTTAGATTCCAAGGTATAATATATGCTTAAAAGTAGCAAATAAATTTTATGAAAGTGTTCAGTCATATAAAATTCTATAGTTCTTGTACCTTAAGAAAAAAATGTATATTTAGTTCGAACAAGAACACCAATAGTAATAAAAAACCAACATGTTTTTAAAAATTATTAATATATTGTGAACGTTTCGGAACTATGACCGTTTCATCTTCAGGACTATATATATATATATATATATATATATATATATATATATATATATATAATATATATATATATATATATATATATATATATATATATATATATATATATATATATATATATATATATATATATATATATATATATATATATATATATTAGGGTGTTTAATATGTACATATTTGAATTATATTGCTCTCAGGGGCTTCAATGCTTCCAAATTGATAAAAAAAATCTCTAAAAGTTTGTAGCTCTTAATATTAAGTTTAGATAGTGCGCAATTCAATCAAAGCTTGAATAGCATGGAAAACATTTCGAAAATTAAAAAAAAAAATTTAGGTATAACTTAGCGACAAATGAATTAAAAGTGATAATTCGTGTCATTTTTTATTGAAAATTCGACGCTTTTCAAGACAGGTTTTGTTTAACTTCCCGTAGGGTAAGTTATTGTAAAGCGCCGAAAATCGAAATTGAAAATTTTTACATTTCTCGACGTTTTCTTAACATTTTGGCATACCTCAGAAAAAGAGGATGTGTGTGTGTGAGTGTGTATGTATGTATGGATACAATTTTTCGTCCACGTTTTCGGGCGCACGGATCAACCGATTTGAATGGTTCAAAAAACATTCGATTACTATTAATAGGGAGATGTGCTGATTAGTTCTTGGCAAAGGCAGGTCTAGGCGATTAGGAGATACGGAGCAAAGAATGCAGAAAATAGAAATCGAGTTTTTGAGAGTTCGGAGCATCCGATTTGAATGATCTCAAAAACATTCAATTTGTAATAACGGGGAGAATGAGTGATTAGTTTTTGGCAAAGGCAGGTTCAGTGATTTCGGAGATACAGAGCTAAATGTGCAAGAAATGGCAGTTTTTGAGAGAACTAAGCGTCCGATTTGAATGATTCCAAAAACTTTCTGCTTGTTTTAACACAATTGATTTTGGAAAAAAAAAATTGCCTCAAAAATTTTTTTTAAATATTTTTCAAAAAAAATTTGTTTTTGTATATCGAAAATAATTCAGATTTTTATTTTAATTCTGTTCTAATATACTACAAACAATTTCAACTTTTCATTTTAGTTTATATAATTCTTATAAATATTCGACAATGTTACAATATTTATAATAATCTATTTGAAAACATTTAATATTCTTCGAACATCTTGTTACGGTACGGGAATTTCCAGCAATTTGCCTTGAGGCACGATGCCATACACCCCACTAGTTTTATTTTGTTTTGTAGAGCGTCGAATTTTGAATAAAACTCATTCATTTGTTCGATAAGTTCTATCTAATATACATTTTTAAAATTTTTGAAAATTTTCCCATGCTATTTCCATACAAAACTTTGACTGAATTGCGCACTATCTAAAAGACAATATTAGGAGCTAAAACTTATAAAGGATTTTTTTTATCAATTTGGAAGAATTCGAGCCCCTGGGAGCATTCGAAAATGTCCATATTAAGGACCACCCCAATTATATATATATATATATATATATATATATATATGTGTGTGTGTGTGTGTGTGTGTGTATGTGTGTATATATATATACCAATGAACATAATACCCTTATTTTTATTCTCTTATCCAGAAGTTACATTATTATGTTCCTTGGATTTTGTTGCCACAAAA